TCTCATCAACACATTAAGACTGCTGTCCTTCATTACTTACAAAAGATAATCTTCGTTTAAGGGTGAATCTGTTTTTGAAAAGGAACAGTTGTTGTTGTTGCTATCGTTGCCATTGTTCTCTGAACCATTTGTTGCTTTTGTTGTTTTCGTCGAGTCTTTGTCTGAAAACGAGAGAGAACAATGCCATATTTCATCTCTATAAACGGACATTCTACCGAGAAATTCAAACAGTTTGTCGAAAATATTATGAATTTGTAGTTGTCATGTATAGTAGTATTATATTTGGAGCAGGCTTCGAATTTCCCTGAAATCAATCGACGGCAATGACGTTAAAAATTACCGTAGAGCATAACAGCTGTCTACGGCAATTTTGGCAAATTTCCACGGCATTTTTTCAAATTACTGTAATAAAAATCTAATTTTATTGTTATTTGGATTGCTGACAAGCTAGAAACATGTTTACGTATTTCTTTAGTGTTTTTTTTTCGAAGAAAACTCAGACTAAAATAGTAGTTAACGCATGATTTGATCAACATCTGAATTCAAGTATCAAAATAGTAATACACAGTGAATAGTATAAAAATTATAATATACGCCAAAAATTGCAGTCGTTGACGCAATGATCCACGGCATTTTGTTCTCCCTCTACGGCAATTGCCGCGATAAAATTCAAGCTCTGATTTGGAGGCAAACTTGGAGAATTATAGTTTAAATTTTTTGCTCTTATAAAAGTGTCAAAATGCTGCTGTGCTGTAACGCTTTTACTGTGTATTTATTCGATTGTTAAAACGACTCACTTGGCGTCTTTTTGTTCATTTCATGATTCGTTTTATGCTTCTCTCTACTCGCCCTCCTGGGAGGAACAATTCTTGGAGATTGCGAGGTAAGTTTAGGTGGAGACGTTTCTGCTCGTTTTCCCTCGTTCTTTGCGGGTGTGTTCAGGTTACTGTGTGCAATACGAGGTTTTTTACCAGCTGGGTTCTTGCCTGGCTTGTTTCCTCCGGAGAGAGGTCTTTTGGTCGAGTTCTAGGAAAGGAAAGGAATGGAAATGTTAAACAAAGAGTGTCATGGTGAACCAGCGGTGAAACTAGCCATGGCAACTGGTCATAATAATGCAAATCATTAAAAATTTGCATCGCATGTTGACCTGTTGCTATGACTAGCTTCACCACTGTACACACGCAAAAGTCTCGCATCTTGTAGCAAGTCTGCCAACAAGCCATCAACAAGTTGTGTTCGCACTGCTTGTCCCAAGTTGTCAACAAGTTTGGAACAAACTGTTAACAATTTGTAACAACCTTGTTGATATTATCAGACTTGTTGCAAGGTTGTTCCAACAAGTCTGATACAGTCATGATATAACACTATTGTTACAACCTTGTGTAGTCAACCTTGTAACATTCTTGTTGTATCATGACTGTATCAGACTCGTTAGAACAACCTCGTACCAAGTCTGATAATGCCATCAAGCTTGTTACAAGTTGTTAACAGCTTGGTCCAAACTTGTTACAAAAACTGGGAACAACCAATGCGAACACAACTTGTTGACAGCTTGTGAACAGATTTGTAACAACTTGTTTGCAGACTTGTAACAACTTGTGCGTTTTTACGTGCGTAGTTAACGATCACTCAAGAAGTCGATATGCACAATTGCAACTCACAATGCCCAACAAAGACGGAGCTATTAATGGTCCAGGTGAAAGTCTATCAACGCTTGAGCCCATCTCTGAGACGATTTTACTACGAAATAAAATATTAATTCATTATTCAGTGAATTACAGAAAATCCTAAACCACAGTTTCAAGCATCCACTAAATCTTTAGTTGTTCTTGCAAACTGTACTAAATATATTATACAAAACATTTATTACTTTTTGACCGTTTCTCGATCTTCATCCGTGTAGCCCGGCCAAGTGTCCACGTCCATCTTCAATACAAAATTAAAAGCAAAGTATAAGAAATACAAAGATCAATAAATCTGCCTTTAATCACAAATATTTTCTGTTACAGGAAACAGTATCATTTCCACAAGATTGCAAATCACAACCAACCTGAACTTCTGTATAAAAATGACGATTTAAAACATAAACATTGTCTTGCATCGCAGAAACCTTTGGGAAAAAATGACCTATTACTGTAAGCATGTTCTAAGCAAGAAAACTGATCTTCATGGAAAGTATAAATTAGTGTTCATACTGTTGTGTTTACCTGTTGAAGTACGTTTGTTAAAACAATAGCATCTTTTAATTTTACACCATCTACAAGGAATGTCATAAGGATGGACTGTTTAACCCATTAAGTGGCATTGTGCCTTACATTACTCTAATGCCAGACGGTTTTACTTGTCAAGGGGAGAGTGCTGGTGCGCAATGGGTAGTTTTAAAGCTTCAGTGACCGATTTCACCCGGGCTATCTGACTTCACCAACTAATCTGTCGAGTGATTCACCAACCCATCAACTTACTGACCAGCTGACAGACTGAATGATGGAAAGACCACACAATCAAGCATCCCACAGACCACCTTGACTGGCTGGTTCCCAGATTAACAGACCAACTAACCAGGCAAGTGACAGATGGACCAATTGACCAATACACTGACTGACTGGTCATTGAGTGGTCAACTGATTTATAGCCTGCAAACAGGCTCTCAAGGTGAATTAGAGCCTGCATCGATGACTAATGAATTTGAATATCTGCGTCTCAAATCGTAACACGAAATTCTCATTGGTCAGATGCTATAATTTATATATGTTTCCGCTGAGCTCTATATATGTCAACTGCTGAAGCACTGTGCATAAAAAACACATTAACTGATCAAATTGGTCTTGGCCAGATCTTATCTCAAAGCATGAAATTTTCTGTTTTGAGAAAACAGTATTTTTAAATAACTGACTTAATGATTTAATTAACTAATTAACTGATTTAATGTTTTAAAAAACATTTAAACTTTTGCTTGAATATCCTATATTTTCCGAAAAACAGGATAAACTGTACGGGAGAAATTTAGTTGGCACGGTCTAAATTTAGTTTGCACGAAAGTTGTAAACAACACCATATAAGGATAGACATTCCATATTTGGAAAAACGAAAGTTACGGGGCAGATATTTAAATTCATTAGTCATCGATGCAGGCTCTCATTTCACCTTGACAGCCTGTTTGCAGGCTAACTGATTTACTGTGCTAGCTACAGAGTTGTTGGTGGTAAATCATATTCAAGTTGTTGTACCTACCTCTCTCTAGTTTCATTCTTAGTTCAAGTTTATTACATGGCCTTAATGCCAACAAATGAATAACCTTTTCCCTAAAAACACAATAAAGTTAGTTTAGTTTAGGTTTCCTCCTAATGCTGGATCAATAAGAGATGATCCTTACTGGACCTCTATAGGAAGAACAGTTTAAACCGATAGAACTATCCAGTATAAATAAAGTTAGTTTAGCCTAGGTTTCCTCCTGTAGTAACACTGGGTCAATAAGAGATGACTCTAATATACTGAAGAACAGTTTAGAACTGATAGAGCTATCCAGTATAAATAAAGTTAGTTTAGATTTCCTCCTGCAGTAACACTGAATCAACAAGGAAGGACTCTTATTGGATATCTTAGGAGGAATAATTTAACATTGACAGAGCTTTCCTGTTTTTTTTTTGTGAAACACCTTGACAAACCTTAATCCTTTTATTGTACTGCTTGAACTCTGATTAATCTTGTTGTTAACTTTGCGGAAGTTGAATTTTTGCCGTGCATTTGGCATCATTCGCTTCTTCTTGATGGCTAAAACAACATATGATGTTTTTAGACCAGAATAATAAAAACATGTGAAATTAAGTGTTTGTCAGAAATATTTATTCCAAGTCTTACCACCATTCTTTGATCCTAGCTCTATGACCTTCGCCCTAAAAAAACCCATTTTATTACACAAAATTAATAAAGTTCATGCCAAATGTAAATTTTGTTAACTTGGCTGTTGTTGGCATTACAGTTATATATAATGCAGCATGTGCATTTCACGTCAAGTACGACCAAGGGGTGATTTCTGCAAATGAATACGCATTTGTCTAATTATAATTTCACCTCAGTAGTATGTGAGAAGTGTGCTAATGCTTTCAGAAACAGTGGTGGTCTTTGTGCTCCTCACTACAAAGCAAGTACAAGTAGGACTGATTTCTTACGTACTGTCCTCACTACAACGCAACACAAGAATATCAAAACGTTGCGTTCTTTCCCTTATGCTTGAATGTTATTGCATTGTAGTGAAGGACACAGTGAGAACAACACAAGCATAAGAACATGCTTACAGGATAAGGATTATGGTCTTTCCTGGACCTCTAGGGAGAACAGTTTAAAATCATGATAAAGACATAAAGGTATCCCAATTAAATAACCAAAGTAAGTTTAGTTCAGCATTCTAACCTATTCCCCTGACGTTCCTTCTCAGCTTCAGCCATTCTGGTCTTTGTAGCTGCGTAACTATCATTGTTTGCACTAACAGTTATTTTTTCTGTTATATTTCCAAGCAACGTTAAATTAACATCTCCCTTATTCTGCTGCAGACAGTCAAGTCCAGTTGTGCTGTTCACCATGAACAAATTTGCACAGGTAAAGTTAAATTTTGTGCCATTGTTATCCACACCATTCTTTGAAGGAATAAACAGTGTCTACAAATAAAAGTCAATTGGTTGATTATGACAGGGCTTCTTAGGGCATTCTTAGGTTCTCACAGCTAACCCATTAGGCTGCAATTTGTCCCATGCCAGACTATTTTATCTATCAAGACGAGAATCATACACATTTAATGGGTTAATTAAATATAGAACTATCTGTCAACATTGACTTTTATTACTAAACCACATTGTAGCCCAATGCACCCTATTTTGTTATTATATTCTGTCTGAAAACTTTTAAACTTGCCAAGAGGGACTGTCTTACAAATTATAGTGGATAATGTCAGACCAGTATGAGCAAATATTCAACCATATCTCATGAAAATAACAGCTAGAGAGAATAATTTCACTCCAACTTCACTTTCGGTGTATGTGGCCATTGACAATATCTTGAAAATGTCAGGTTCTATGTCAAATGTTCCAACCAGAATAAAGGGGATCATGGCAATTTCACAGTTCATTTTTCAAGCCTTTGTCTTTTGCCTCTGGAATGTATTTGGCAAAAAGACTTGACTTTAAATGTTGCTGAAATTTTGTTACCTACTTTAATAGTTTTGTTTAATTCCTGTTAAAAAGTTGAGGCAATTTATTTGCTCAATGACAATGCTCAAAGGCAACATACGTCATTTTTACGAGAAAGTTTTGAGTTTAAATTGATTTCCATAACGATGAGTAGATTTTTCTGAAAAATCAAACGGTTCAGGCTAATAAATTGGGAGATCAGGAGTAACATTTGGAAATTGAGAAACTCCTGAGTCCTGATCAAACCAAGAAACTCCTGTAAAAATCAGGAGGGTTGAAACATGCGCTAGGTCATGTTGTATTTTCTTCCCTCAGCACAGACATCATTGTTCTTTCTCAAATACATCATAATATTTGTGGTGGGCTCGTAACTGCCAATCAAAACGATAATTTGCATGCATATTGATGGCCCATTATATTCCCTGAAATAAACCGCCCCAACAAAACACAGATAAACTAATGTAATTTAACACCAAAATAAAACTAACATCAGCTGAACATAATGAGACAATGTCTGATAAGTTAAATGAGAAATGGCTGGTGTGGTGTTATCTATGCACCAAATATGCTATTTACAACATATCAGACAAAGTCACTGCATAACTCTTGAATGTTACACCATAGGTGGGTAATATACATATTTATTTACCTATAGACAAATCATTTTAAGCAAAGTTCAGTGATTTATCCCCTAAAATACGACAGTTTAGACATTGAAATCCTTGTTTTTGTAACTCAAAAGGCATCACAGAATTACAATTTATTATGTGATTTTTTACTTGAGCGAATCACACAAAATTCCCAGATTAAGATAATTAATTCTAAACTCTATTCATTACAATTTATCTATTGATTTGCTGTGGAATGCTTTAAATAAGCTCGGCTTTACTAGCCAAAATACAACAATAAATTTATGTTGAGTGATTTGATTTTGAGATAGTCTGCAGTATGTGCCCAATACAGAAAATGAACCAGATGTATTAGTGAAATTCTTCAACGGATGTTATATAAAAGCTCGCAATATATCTATTAATCCTGGGCTAAAGCCAGATGGACAAAGTTGATGGCCCAAAAATAGAATAAAATGAAACGATGTAAATATAAACTTTTGTTTGCCTTATCGCTTTATATCAAATGTGCTTTATTAAAACGTCGCACGTTCGTATATTTCATAAGGGCTAGGAACACTTCAAATTTTGCTTTAAACTTGATTAGATTTTGTTAATACAGACTTTGTTAGTTACTTGTTTGTTAACAAGCTGGTAAGAACAAAAGAAGTAAAACAATAAACAAAATATAATACCCCTGCTTTTCCATGGTTCTTGAATTGAATCGAAGGCTTTCTTGTTGTGCCGCCTTTCGACAGCTAAAATCAAAGAAAACTACATAGTTTAGCAGTGAAACAACCTCGAAGTAAACTACATACTATGAACAAGAATCTATCGAGATCTTGGGACATAGATAGACGATACGAACCTTAGATTTGGCCGTGGGATTTTGAAGTTGCTCGAGTGTTTTTAGGCACGAGTCAGTAAGCTTGACTAGAAACAGCGATTTGTTCGGATTTTGACCATTCTTGGAGACGATCTTGTAATTTGAACTACTCTCTAAACACACAGCCATCTCACTGTCAGGTGTTTTCCGAGAGTTGCCAGATTAAGCCATACTTCTGTCCCCTCAAAAACTTCATTCAGCTCTGCTTTTGTAAAATGATAATTTTTTTACCTTCGTTACCGGAAGTGATCTCCACAATCATCAACAAAGTATTACACAACTGCGCATGCGTTTAGACACCACCGGATATAAACAGTACGTTCGATTTGTTATGCATTTCCTGCTTGGACGGTCAACCATTTCCGGTGTGCAATTGCAATTTTATACCAGCTTATTTAAGGTTGGATGTGGCTCAAAGTTTGAAGGAGGGTTTGGTTAGGTTTATGGTAAGGGTTAGGATATTGTTGGTTGACTGGCTGATCAGGTTTTCCGGACGATCTGCAAAGCCTGATGAAAGATTGAATCAAATCCTTGTAGCGATTGTTGAGCCTGTATTAATGAGATTGGGTCATAGGTGGTAAAACGTCATTCGTTTGCAAATGACGTTTGCTGATGCACTGGTTGTGTCAGGTTAAGTGCTACGCGGGCTAATCGTTACAAGCCAGCTTAGAATTTAAGATTTTTCAAGAATCAATCACAATAATCTTGCTCAGAAATAGTAAATTAACAACAATAATAGAGAAACCCGCAATTTTTACAGAAATACGAGACAATTTATTCAAGAAATGTTTTAAATACAGGCTTTTGAATGCATGATTGACAAACTCGTACAAACACGATAAAACATGAATAACACACAGCGCTAAATCAACAGCATATAGCTCTTAATCTGTTCTATATTCAATTTTGCTCATTCAAAGACAAGCTGGCGTTGAGTAAGGATCAAAATTTACAGCGCGGTGGCAATATGTTCAGAAGTGGAACATTACTTTTAATCTTTACCAGTACAGCGTACTTGGTTCTGGAGACGAATAGTTTGTTTGCTCCGAAAATCCAATACACGCATGGCGTAAGTCACTATTTATTTGCGCGCTAAATTGCGCTACACAGAGTGTCCCGAACAAAGGTATACCTTTTGAAATCAAGCCTTTGTTGGAATTTGAATGCCTTATTACTATATTGAACCGACGGGTGTGTTAACACAATTTTATGCATGTTTGAGTTAGTATGCACTTTGAGCGTATAATTTAACACAATAAAAAGAGGGTCCTGAAGGGGGGGGGTCCCAATCCCATTTCCCACCTGAAATTTTGACAAAATCCCAGTCCCAGTTGGATTTTTATTAGAAATCCCAGTCCGAGTTATTGAAATCCCAGTCAATAAAAAACCCCTTTATTTATCGGTACAATAAACAGTTTTAAGACTTTTAAGCCACCGTGTGTGCAAGTGGCGAACACTTTATGAAATATTGGGGGAGGTTCGTGCCACGGAAAATTTTAAAATTTGAATCCCGGAAATGGCATTTGCAGCATTCTGAGACATGCATAATCAGAAAACCCAGAATTTCGGGCGCCAGAGTATGCCTGTTCTCAGGTAGTGCTGTGAATAATATAAAATCATGACCAAAGACACCAAAAACGGATCAAAATTGTTTTTTAAAATACTTAAAACGTAGAAAAATTGGGAATCGACTCGCATTACCTCAATTCCATTCCCATTTTTGAGGACTTCATTTCCCATTCCCAGTGGCCAAATCCCAGTCCCAGCAACCCAAATCCCATTTTCCCAGTCTAAAAATAGATCAATCCCAGTTCCCATTTTACCCCTTCAGGGCCCTCTAAAAACTCTTTGCTCTGTGACTGTGGTCATTTTTGCTCGAGCTGACGGTGCGACTGATTAGTAATTTGACCATTTTTGTACAGTCACTCTTCTTTTATAATATTAGAAGCAATTTCAAATTCCCAGGGGTAGAAAATCTTGTACTTAACAAGAATAGATTTATTCAGGTCTCGTTTTTCAATACATCCTTTTATTTTACGCTTCTGTTGGTTCAACATAATGCTCAGGCATTCAAATTATTACAATAGGAACATTTCAAAAGGTAAACATGTTTTCGGCACACCCTGTAATTCATTATTGTTATTACTAGGAGTTATCACAGCCAGAAAGTGCGACCATTGTACACGCTGCAGAACTGTACAACAGTGTACAATGACCTTTCTTTGTCTTGTAAATGGAATCTATTGAATATATTGTATTAAGACAGTTTATTAAGGACTAAGATATCTGTACAAAGGGAGACTTATTTTCTTATCCGGTTGATTTGGTAATTGGTTCACACCTGTGATGATTTGGGACATAGACAATTCTCCAATTTAGGACATAGACAATTCTCCAATCCGACTTAGTGTAATAGTATCAATTTTTTGTCATGATAGTTTAGCAAATTAGAAAATTTATCATTTCAGTGTAGTTCTGTAATTTGTAGTTCTGTTTAGAGTACGTTCATTTTTCAGTAATGCATACTTGTACCAAATTTACCCGTGCTTGGACTTTTAAAAACTCCTGCGGTTTTCCTCCATTTATGACAGATTGATGTGCAACAATTTTATCTTCATACATCTAGCAAAATCCTTACAACCCAGGCGTATGTAATTCTCTGACTAAAGGCGACTTGAGGATGGTGAAAGACAGAAATCATCTCAATAAACTTTTACTCTGTATCAAACAAGCAACACACTTTTACTGGAAGATGATGTCCAACTCAGGTATTAATGTACTTCTTGTATGGAATTTCTTCTAAAAGCGTTTTAAATCCTTGTAATGTTGTAACATGTAGTGTTTTTGACATATAGGAAATTCATATGGCAACTATTTTGACCCAGCCAGAGATTGTTCGTCCATACTGGACAAAATTCCCGATGCCAAAACTGGAGTATATTGGATTAAAACTGACAATGGACCGAGAAAGGTAAAGAATATTTAATAGATAAATAGTTTTGGCTCACGTCATGCTGACTGTTTGTGCAAATGTTCCGGCTTATCCGTATTTATCATAAATAAGCTTATTCGGATTTTTAATAAAATTGTATAAAACGTGAACCGTTATCCGAATTTTGAAGCAAAATATTTTCGAGCCAGTGACCTTCTCTGGTCGAGTAGCCAATCAGAATGCTAAATTTTGTGATAGACCACGGTTGAGTGTATACTAACAAGAATGATTTACTGGACACGGAGAGAACAGAACTGGTGAATTAGCTCATAATCGATAGCTCTGTTCTTCTTCATATAGGCTTGGTGTGATTTGGTTACAGACGGCGGGGGATTTTTGTTGATAGGTGTTCAAAATTCATCAAGAACCATGGATGTTCCTTCTGATTCTACACTTGTCCATCCACTGGACCTCAGACACTGGTCCAGCAGCTTTGGCGAGGAAAAGATTTTGGACTTCAGGGTTCAAATTGCAACCTCTAAAAGCTGGTCCGACACAAAAGCACACTGGTATATTTTGTTCACCTTCAGGAAACGTAGCTAGGAAACATCTCTCCTGGTTTGTCCACCTTCAGGAAACATTGCTAGGAAACAATGTTTCCTGGTTTGCTCACCTTCAAGAAACATGGCTAGGAAACATGTTTCCTGGTTAGTCCACCTTCAGGAAACATGCCTAGGAAACAATGTTTCCTGGTTTCTTCACCTTCAGGAAACGTAGCTAGGAAACATCTCTCCTGGTTTGTCCACCTTCAGGAAACATGGCTCGGAAACATTGTTTCCTGGTTTGTCCATCTTCAGGAAACATGGCTAGGAAACAATGTTTCCTGGTTTGCTCACCTTCAAGAAACATGGCTAGGAAACATGTTTCCTGGATAGACTATCTTCATCACAACATTGGTTAAAATGAAATCTTAACCATTTTGTAGGTACTATCGTTTCAATACGCCAAGGAAACTGTCAAAACTTCTTCTCTTTAATGATGGAAATTGTGACAATATTTATCCCGGTGTCGGAGACGTGAAATTTGTGAAAGATCTTCAAGACAATGTTGTGGTCACAAAAAAAATTGAATGCTCGCGCTTTGATGTTCATTTTCACAAAAGTCTGGGATGGGTTAGTACAAATAAAATTGGGGAACTAGCGCAAGAACTAATTTGTGTCTCGATTACCTGAAAAAAGACTAAAACCGCTTGGATGAATTATCTAACGGATAAACTAAATACATGTATATATTTTTAGGGTAAAATGAATGAATGCTTTCGAACTCCGTGCAAAACTGGTTTCAATCATCTTAAGTTGGCAACTTCAGGAGCTTTCAGGTAAAAACAACTTAGAATCAATCTTTAAATTTTAAAGAACCTGGAACGATCCATTTTATGTCTTCTTTCACTCTTAGTTTCAGTGTGGAATCAAGTAAATCTGGGATAATAAATAATTCCACAAAATATATCGGATGTGAAAAAAACAAGGTAACTCTTCCTAATCCTTGCAATGCTTAATTATCCTAAACATAATCCTTGTGACGTAATTCAGAATACGTCAAAACAACGAGTGACTGGATGACATGGAGAACAGTGGGATTTACAAAACAATGAAAAGACAATGGAACATTCTGATCCCTGAATCATGACTGGATGACATGGAGAACAGTGGGATTTACAAAACAATGAAAAGACAATGGAACATTCTGATCCCTGAATCATGACTGGATGACATGGAGAACAGTGGGATTTACAAAACAATGAAAAGACAATGGAACATTCTGATCCCTGAATCATGACTGGATGACATTAGTAACCATCCAAAGCCCATATACAACGTTATTCTAGCTTAAGAACGAACTGAGGTTGACATGGGTTGATTTTTGTTGTTATAGTGTTGTGTTTGCTACGGGCCCTCCAGTGACAAAGATTACTGTGCCCCAGGCTGCAAGGCGATCAACGGAGGGACAGTACTGACAGATGACGACACCGAGATCCATGCGTGGTACTGGATACGAACCTCGTTACCAAAACGAGTTTGGAAGAAATGTATGGAATATGAGAAAATTGAAGGAGGGAAAACTGTCAAATGGCATGTAGATGAACATAACAAAGTTCCTCAACAGGTACATACTTAGTCTCCCGCGCTGCCGCTGTTTGAGATACATACGTAGCGGGCTATGGTTCCAAACCAAGGAACCAACTCATTGGCTGAGCTTATGTCCATGAACATATCAATTTTGAAACGATATTTTCCTATTTATAGGGGCCTTGTTCGTATCCAGGAGATGTGAGATTTAATGATGGAGTACGTACCATGTCATTTAATGAGTTGCCATTTTATTCAACACATTATATTACACACGTAAAAACACACAAATTGTTACATGTCTGCAAACAAGTTGTTACAAATCTGTTCAGAAGCTGTCAACAAGTTGTGTTCGCACTGCTTGTTCCCAGATGTTGTAACAATTTTGGAAGAAGCTGTTAACAACTTGGAACAAGCTTGATGGCATTATCAGACTTGTTACAAGTTGTTATAACAGGCCTGATATGGTCATATAACAAGAATGTTACAATGTAGACGACACAAGGTTATTATTATCACGATTATTGTGTTATTATTTATTGACGATATCCACGTAAACTTTTCAGGTTGCAGTGGTTGATAATAAAGAAACATTGGAAAAACTGCCAAATATCGAGGGCCTTCTATCTTATCGAACAGATAACAAAGATTTGTTACTGAGAGGAAAACATTCCTGGAACAGAATGGCGAAGGAAAACCAGGTCACAATACACTCTTCCGGAAAGTGCTCAGGCTTCACAGCCTCGTTTTCGCGATTGAGTTGTTGGGTTCAGAGCATTTTAACCTGTTAAACACCTTTATATAACAAGATCATCAGTAACAAGATACAGGGTGTTAAAGCTGATATCTCAATCACGAGAATGAGGCTCTATAGCCAAGGATAAGTACTTTCTGAAAGGCGTATTTTAATCTTTAGTTGTCTACCTGGACAAACAGAGACAGACAGCCTGACAGACACACTGACTAGACAAACAAGTGACCGTTAATATGCTATGCAAGGAAACGCTCGAATTCGTCAAATAACATTGGGATGCATTCAAATGTTTCCATTTTTCAATAGATTCTGAAACTAGAAGCTGTTCTCGGAACGTCACAAAGGAAATTAGAAAAAGTCCAAACGTCACAAAACGAACTGCGAAAAGAATTGACTGAAAGTAAACCTAAAATATCTGATGTATCTTCCAAGGTGTTGAAACTAGAAGCGGAACTCGGAACTTCACAAAGGAAATTAGAAAAAGTCAAAACTTCACAAAACGAACTACGAAAAGAAAAGACTGAAAGTAAAGCTAAAATATCCGACTTATCTTCCAAGCTGTTAAAACTAGAAGCGAAACTCGGAACTTCAAAAAGGAAACTACGAAAAGACTTGACTGAAAGTAAAGCTAAAATATCTGACTTATCTTCCAAGCTGTTGAAACTAGAAGAAGGTATATTTAATAACGTTACCACATTATAAACAAATAGCTCAGAGTTGGTTTTTGGACAAAACTTCCTGACCTGATCCAATCTAGTTTTAATCAAACTCTTAATCTGATTCAATAAATACCATCTTATTTATCTAAACTGTCAGTTACAAAACTCTAGAAATAAATACGTTGTTTCTTATTCGTGTTTAGAAAACAAAATATATTCGTCCTGCAAAAGTGCTTTGGAAAAAATCGGGTGAGGACTTTGTTTATGATGGAACAAATTTCATTTTTTTATAATCTTTTCTTATTGTATGGTTTTATTTTAGTAATGCGAAACATGGTGTGTATAAAATTAAAAGTCTCTCGGTTGCCTACGGCTATTCCAATGTATATTGTCACATGACATCGATGCCCGGATGTTCAGGTGGAGGATGGACTTTAGTCATGAAAATCAACGGAAAAAAGGTGAATTACTAGTTAAGGTGGCGAACTGCTGTTTTTTAAAGGCTTGTTGTCGTTGCTGCTGCTGTTGTTGTTGTTGTTGTTGTTGTTGCTGTTGCTGTTGCTGTTGTTGCTGTCGTTGTCGTTGCTGGTGTCGTTGCTGCTGGTGTCGTTGCTGCTGGTGTCGTTGTTGTCGTTGTCGTTGTCGTTGTTGCTGTTGCTGTGTACAGATTGTTTTCGAGCTGTAAATATAGATGCTATTTTGTAGGAAACATTTCATTATGGTTCCAGTTACTGGAACAACAAGGCAACATACAATCCAGGAGGCCTGACGGGATTCGATGACGTGGAAACAAAACAAGCAACATACTGGAACACACCGTTCAAAGAAATATGTTTAGGAATGAAAGTGAACAACAACCTAAATTTTATATCAATCTCATATCAAGCATCTTCATTGTACAACGTAATTGCAGATGGCAGTTATCGTTCTACCAGCATACCTGTAGGACGATCAAAATGGCTGTCTTTGGTGCGAGGTTCTGCTTTGCAATCAGACTGCAACCGAGAGGGATTTAACGTACATCCACCTCCTCACCCACGTTTCACTAACCTACAAGCAGTCCGCATAGGAATACTAGGAAATGAAGGTGATGATGGTTGCAAATCCCCAGATTCATACCTTGGATTTGGTGGCATCGCCAAAAACAAGCGTGGTTATTGTGGGATGCCAAAAACATCAAATACATGTGGCAATGCCGGTTACTGCATACTTGCGGGCGCAAACAAAGAAATACCTGCAATGGGTTACATTTTTGTTCGCTAAACACTTTATATGTTTTCATCGACTATAATTTTTCAGTGCCTTTGATACTTGTGACATTTTTGTCATACTGATAATGGCACATAAAATACCTAATTTGTAATGTAATGTAAACAATATTAGTTTGAGCACGCTGATATTAGACAACATTTCTTTGAGTGGTTCGAAACTGAGTAGTCAAAATTTCGAAACTGCAAGTCTTATAATCTTATAATTTTAAGTCTAATTTAAAAGTTTAGTACTTCGCACAATAACTAGCATAATCATTTTAAAAGTAAAATATATAACAATCTGTATTATCTGTATTGCATTGGTTTTCATTAAAAATATTCTTTACTGTCATGTCAAATTATCCTAATCCATTATAAGACCCATTTGTTCCGTCCTTTCGAAACTTTTTTCTGCTAGTTAAAAAAGGGTTTCTGTGCAGCTGCAAATTTCACACGAATTCGAAGAGCTCTTTTGAGCTTTTAAAAAATGATTTCAAAAAATCGTTTAATACAATAACATCTGGTCCAATATAATTTAAACAAATAATATATATAATACAAAAGTAACACTCTAAGACAATATTCTGCGCATATAACACGCACACATCCACTCTGTAACGCATTAAATTTAAAACAATTACTTCTCAAAGCCCAACATAGGGTATGAAAGACTTGAAATGCATTTCTATATGATACAGATTCTTTATATAGTTGGTAAGCATCATAGATGCCAATTTGGATAACAATATATTATTTGGTTTTACTAAGGCTCCAGTTACATGATACGGTTCGCCCAAGTTTTTGACTAATTCTGTTATATTATCATAATTTTGAGTGCTAAACTCTCCCTGAAACTGTAAAATTTGATGTCGCTCCGATGCGAATCTGGTCTCGTGTAACTGGGGCCTACGGGACTGGTCATTATTTATGAGGGGGGTTGCAACGAAGAGAAAAGGGTTGGGTAAACAAAAATTTGAGTGAGTAAAAGGTTGGGTAAAAAAAACAACTCAAAGGTTGGGTAATGAAAAATTATTGTCATTTCCAAAGCATGACTCACTCAAATATTGAAAACTAAAAAGCAATGTCAACAGTCATATGTCAATACAATATGTAAATCAATCAGAGTCACGATCATTTTCCAATTTGTTATGGGGGAAATGGTATATCTCCAAAAAAAGTACATGCGCAGACAACATGAAACTTTAGACTGCAGAAAATTGCACAAGCAGTTATCAAACTCGTGTCACAGAAGTGGTAAAGGACATGTGTGACAACTGAATGGTGTTGTATCGTAAAGTTTTCGGCAAGGGGTGGGTATTTATTTTTTGTTGATATTTGAAGTTGGGTAAAATTTTTAACACGTTTTAATGGTTGGATCGGCAGAGCCTTTTACCAAGAAAAATATTTCTCTTCCCCCCCCCCCAGCATAAATAATGACCTAGCTGTCCCTAAGCGCAATCGCGCAGCAGATGGTAGGCAACCTGCAGTTATCAGAGTGACAAAATAAAAGTTAAAGTGGCACTGTCATCAAAACTGTATAGTAACTTCTTTTGAAGATTTTTGTTCGCATGCTTAGTTATTGAGATATTTCATTTTGTTTGTAGCCATGTGACGTCATTTACTCAATTACATATATAATGAGATATCAGTAATTGTTGTGTATCTTTGTTATTTTTTATCAAAATCTTTCCAAAGATGCCGCGCGTTTTTAATTTAACCTACATCATTAAGCATACTGGTTTTTTTAAAGAAATCCATCAAAAATAGCAAAGATACACAACAATTACTGATATCTCATTATATATGTAATTGAGTAAATGACGTCACATGGTTACAAACAAAATGAAATATCTCAAGAACTAAGCGTGAGAACAAAAATCTTCAAAACAAGTTATTATACAGTTTTAGGAGCATTTTCGTTTAGAAAATAAAAATTTTGATGACAGTGCCACTTTTCTTGTCGACATCTCTGAAGTTGACGAGCATCTGCTGCCTTTGAAAACCCAGGAATATAAAACGCGCAACCCACAGATAAAACAATAACCTCTTCGTAATTTACAACTACCTCCTACCCAGACACTTTTGTAACTGTTGCAGAGTGTTTTTTTCCAAACTACATAGATCAAATTCAAACGTTTTCTCTGCAACGGTATAAAGTCCAGTGGTTTCTATCACGTCCACTACTTTCTGTAGGAATTCAGTATCTTCACATTTTGTAATCTGCTCATAAAGGTCGAATAATTCTTTATTGGAGAGTTCCTGCTCTCTTAGCTTTTCATCTTTGCTTTTGGAAACCCTGGAAAAAACAACGAATACAAATGTAAATGCTTTTGATAACAGGCAAAGCTAGAAATATATCAAAACTACGAGTGACTGATGGCAAGGAGAATATCGTATTTACTCGTTTAAGTGCCGCGGTCAATTAAAAGCCGCATATCAGATCAATGTATTAAAGAGCGCCGCCCTGGAATATTAAAGCGCCTTACCTATTCACAAGAATGTAAAGCGAGGCCTCGTCAGTCCTGCACGCGAATAAGTGCCGCAACAGAAATGCTAAAAGTTTAAGGAGCGACGCAGTACTGAAAATGAGTAAATATGGTAGTTGCATTTCAGTTCAAAACAATGAAAAGACAATGAAACAAGCCCATGTGTATCAGCTGTAGAGAGAGACTATATCCCCTTGTCTACATACCCTCTACTACAGTTTTAAAGAATTAAAAACGTAATTCCTACCCATTTTCAATCGTAGACGAAGTGTTCATTAATTCACTAGATTCACTGGCATGGTTCAATTGTTCTTCCGTATTATTCTCAACATGATTTGTATTTTTACTCTCAACATGACTTGAGTTCTCCTTGGTTTTCAAACTACTCAAACCGTTCTTGTTTGCTGTTTCTTCCTTGTGACTTGTTTGCTCTTTGTGACTCGTTTGTTCCTTGTGACTCGTTTGTTCCTTGTGTGTGTTCTTTGTCAGAGCCGGCAACGATTCATGTTTAAATGGTGGAGGGAGATCGTCCTTCTCCTTGTGAGAAGCGTGACTCGTTTGTTCCTTGTGTGTGTTCTTTGTCAGAGCCGGCAATGATTCATGTTTAAATGGTGGAGGGAGATCGTCCTTCTCCTTGTGAGAAGCTTGTGTTATAACGGGTGAGGGCTCATGCTTGAACGGAATAGGGAGGTCAACCTTTTCCTTGAGAGTGATCTTAGACAAAACTGGTGATGATTCACGTTTGAAAGGAGTTGGCAAGTCTCCCTCGTCTTCATCTGATGACATCTCACTGAGTAATTTCCCCAACGCTTTATTCTTTGCAACGACATTTGACATAAGCCCTGAGCCGCCAGCACTTGCCCAGCTGTCACCAGAACTTCTACGAATTGTCACTTTCTCGATCTTATCTTTCTTTGATTTACTTTTTTCCTTCTTTTCACCACTTCGTTTCTTGTCCGATTTCTCGCCTTTTTTCTTCACCTTTATTTTATGTTCGCTTTTATCCAGCTTTTTGCTTTCATGTTCAGATTTCTGAGACTTTGATTCCTTACTTTTTGCACTGTGAGAAGTTTTAGACTTGTCCGCACTAGGCTCTTTCTTTCGCTCCTTTTCAACACTTTCTTTCGGCAGGATAGGCTTAAATTTCACTTTTAAGTCTTTGACCTCGGTTGTCAAAGGTTGCGACGCAGGCGCCACCACGCTCTCCCCTTGTGAGTGTTTCGTTTTTGATGAGCTAGACCCATCAGATGATTTTTTCTTCTTTTTCGGCACACCATCTGTGGCTGTTTGTTCGTGTAAAGGTGGTGATCGTTTCACGCCTACTACACCAGAGCTAGGTTTCGAACTGGATTTGGGAAGTTTAATCTTTTTAGTTTTTTCATTTTCAGAGATATTAGAAGCAGTCTTTTGTGCTGGTTCTTTGGTTTCCTCTCGTGTCGGAGGATGTCCATTGCTAATACCATTACTACACATTTTAAAAACAAAATATGTGTTATTCAAACCTTTCTTGACAGGCTTTTGCTCAGCCTAATTTGTAAGTGAACTAATGATTTGCTGCATGCCTTGGTTGCGTCTAGTTATTATTTAACAGGGTCTGAAATTTGAAGTATCCAGATATCCAAAGGATAGGAAAAATTTGGTTTTGGCTACCAAACTGTGAATGACTTGTTTATTTATTTATTTAAACATATTTGAAAAAAAACACGTTTGCCCCAAGAGCTAATAAGCTCATCAAGGGGGCTTACGCCTATTTACAAGATGTATTTAAAAATAACGTTAGTCAGCTAGGAGACAGCTGGATTATATCATTACCATCTCATGCTTCAGACAAAATGCAAAGACGGCTTCTCGGGTCACTTGTATCCCGACTGGATACTAAGAAAATTTCAAACATTAGGAAAATGTTAAACACTTTTGACAGGCTCCTGATAGCTTTTGAATACTATCAGTTTGCCATCAGTCTTTCCTCATTGAGGACTAGCATATAGAAGTTTGAGGGATTACGTGCATTTTAGAGTATTAATGAACTGTTTAGCTGTTGACTGTTGAGTCTCCTGTTGTTATTGTAATTTGTAACAGTGAGAGTCATGGAAACTTATTTAGATGGGACAGGGTATAATACTTATGGTACCGGTAACCAGTATCCAGAAGTGAGATACTGGATTCTCAGAAGGGATACTAAACTTTGAATCCCGGTATCCAAGTTGAATACTGCGAAAAATATACATGGCCCAACTTCTAGACCAAGTAAATTAATTGATTATAATATTAAGTAAATCATTTACAATCTTATAATAGTTCTGGAGAACCGCCTCTTTCCTTAGCAAAACTACAGGAGCAATTTACCGCTCTCATTCTTCAGACAAAATGCAAAGACGGCTTCTCGGGTCAAGAATTTCTATAGTGCGCAAATGATCGCATTGTGTTGTCCCACTTATGTATATTTTAACTATAATTAGATTGCTGTTGTTATTGTGTGAATTTGACATTTTTCCTGGGAGATTTTGATTGGATACTACATGTAAATATTAAATTTATAGTGGGTGGATATCAGATTAGGTTTGTGTCAGGCTTTATTTGTACAGGCTATGTCCCACACAGTACTTGAAAGAAGATTGGGCAAAGTGGTTAAAAGTCAATAAGAAGTCTCATACTATTTCTATGGATCATAAAACAACATGTGAATCATCGAAGTCCTGTGATGTTACTTCTCAAACATTTATTGTACACATAGTTACTTACCTTACACCATTAACAGCCGAGATTGGAATGCCTCCCCCTTTCACTAATTTCTTCATAAAATCCTCAGTGGGATGAGTAAAGGTGAGGGCCTCCGTCCGAACGCTTGTAACAGGAGGCAAGCCATTCAGTGGTAGAAATAAATCATAAGTAAAGTGGACTCTTCGGGGCTCATCTTTTGTTTTGAAACAAACCTCGACCTTCAGTTCAAAACCGCCATAGCCCGACTCATCTAACTTGTATGGTGGGTCTTTTATAGCTGTGAAGAAATTGAAAATAACCTATTATGAATGTTTGGATGAGGGTAAATATACTCAAAACATTCAGTTTGACAATAAAGGCCGATTTACACTAGATAACTTTTGCCTAAAACTGTCGCGTGCAACCTGCTTACAACTTGAGTTGTACCACAGAATACTGCACAGAAGTCCATCTCCATTGCTTTTTGCATAAGCTCTATTCGTCATAATTCGTCACTCGGCAAGTACCGTAAACAGAAGCAGTCACCCCCTGGAAATACTAAAAATGGTGCATGTCCAGGGGGGTGACTGCTTCTGTTTACGGTACTTGCCGAGTGACGAATCATGACGAATAGCGCTTATGGAAAAAGCAATGGAGATGGACTTCTGTGTAGTAGTCTGTGGTTGTACTGTGTAAATCAAGAACACAATTCATCTACGACAACAAAGGCAGTTGTGTGCTTGATTTATACAGTACAACTCAAGTTGTAATCAGGTTGCATGCAAACTTTTAGGCAAATATCAGCCCTCGAAAACCATCAAAATCGACGTCGGCAAAAAAATGCTGACCTAAATCTAACCTAGGTCAGCATGTCTCGGCATTTTTTAAAATCTGTTTCCATGTCTTGGAGCACTAGTAATCACGTATTTGCGAATCATTGAAATCAGAATATAAAGCATGCTTTTTTCCGCAGAAACGCAAACTACAGTAACATGACAAGTCTTACCTGAATTATATATAGAATACCCGTCAATTTTTAAACATTACACCAAAGTGCATTTAGTTAATCAAACTACGAATCAAATTCTATAATTGCTGACTTTTTAACAGCTAAATTAAGGTCAGCAAAAATTTTGCCGACCTGTGAGGTTGACAGGTCAGCATTTAGGTCGGCATTGCCGAATGCTGACCTAATTTTCGAGGGCTGAAATATTGTGTCTAGGTGAGCATTAGGTTGAATGTCAGGGTGTTATTTAGAGATTATTACACCGAATGCCAGATTTAATGACATTACCCGTAACAAAAAAATTCACAATTCATCTACTCATTCAAATAAAATCGCAGAAGAAAATCGCAGCACAAATTGAAACTACAAACACAGTTTTAAGTGTAAACAACAATGTTTTCCGGTATTACATGACTGTTACACGAGCTTGATGCCACAGCATTTATGTACAAATATTACTAAAAAAGATCATAATTAAATAATTATTGAATGTAGCTTTGTTCATAATCAGTAATTCACAGGTTATGTGATCTTTGATAAATAATTATATATTTTTTTTCACCCAATAAACAATAAATTCTGAACCATACAAGTATAAACAGAGGGCAAATCACAGTAAATTATAAGCATCAATGATTGCCTTTCTATCCTAAAAATATATTTCCTCTAAAGCCAGCGACAAATTGATTACAATAAAGGCATTTTTGTGAAGGATTGAGTGTCCATGACAGATTGTTCCGAGTGTACATGTTAGTTTTAAACGAGAGATGAATCAAGTACAGAGACAACATTTATTTGTGAAATAATTCAAGCACAATACAGCACTCGATTTGTGTAAATAAAGATTGTATCCACTTATTTATCAAATAGAAACCCTTAGAATGGGGATTAGCATTTACAAACATAAAGTTCAAAACATCAAAACATACCACGTTTTGGCTTGGGAAAGCTTTCGTGCAGATGAAATATTACTTTCTCTACAAAATGTGAAATGTCTTTCCCCTCGGATCCGCGAACGAAAATCGTCCAGTCGTGTGTAAAGCCTTCTGGAGTCGGCTCCAAGCGACATGCTGCTTTGTGGCCAATTTCTAGCTTCACTTGCATTCGCATTTTGAAGTTATTTCAGTCCAAAATCCACCAAATTTCCTTCGTATTCAAACGCTTAAAGGCAATACCATCGCCTTTGGCAAAGCAATAAAGCATCGCCCGCAAATAATGGTTTAAATCTGCATTTCAAAAATCAAAACATAATCGTTTTTTTCTCCTCGATTGTTGATTCCGAGTCTGTTGTGTCTACAGTGACACTGCGCATGTGTTTACTGTCATACCAAAAAAGGAAATGATACGAGGAAATATCAGATAATATTGATCATCAATCAAGGGTTATAATTTAATAAGATTAATAGCCTCTCGTAACAAGACTATTAATAACTTAATATATTTGTAATTTATAATACTAATTGCACTCAAAGACACAACATTTTTGCACAAAAATTCAGATTTGTTTTACAAGTGTAGCTGTTATATAATAACATTACAACCTCGATTACAACAATCACAAAATGATTGTCTAACTTAAAATTATAAAATTCTACGTTGTCTAACATAAAATTATAAAATTCTATGTCTTTCATTACACCGTTCTCATAGACAAGATAAATATACATTTAAAGTTCAACCACAACACAAAATGCAATGGAAATTTATTCATATTGTATAAAACATGTTAAACTGCAATAAAATACTAAATTATTAACATGGAATACTCGATCCTCAAAGAACATTTAAAATTTCTTTTGCCTTGTCCGATGCTGTAATGTCATGTTATTTGCCTGACCAATAACATCGTCATTTTCATCCCCTGGCAACATCACCTCAAAATGCAACATTGAGGTTGGCAACTTTGTTACTTTTGTATGTCGTAAGTCAAGTCTGTGTAAACTTGTAAACCCTTTGGAAATTTCACCAGGTTTTACATTAATCTCATTATGCTGTAAATTTAAATATGCTAGACACTTCAATCGTGTTAACGAGTCTTGAATCTTCTCCAGTCTATTGTAACTCAGGTCCAGATATGTTAACTTTTCAAGCTTGTAAAAGTCATGTGGTAGGATTGTTATCTGATTTTTCACTAAGCTTAACCATTTTAAAGATCTAAGGTTTGAAAATTTTTCTGGTAGGCAAGTTAACGAGTTCTCCCCAGCTCCAAGCTTCGTTAGTTGCTCTAACAAGCAAATTTCTGCTGGTAACGACATTAGTTGAACATTAACGATCCATAATTCTGTAAGGTACTTTAGCTTTCCACATTCTGAGGGTAGAAATGCAAGGCTATTATGACTCAATGAGAGGACTTTCAGGTTCGTTAGATCCCCAAATCCTGTCGGCAGCATCGTTAGTTGATTATGGTCTAATGACAGTTCCTCTAAGTTCGTTAATGACACCAGTTCTCCGGGAGGCATAATTATTCTGTTATTGTTTAATAATAATACCTTCAAGTTACTAAGTGTGCAAATACAGGATGGTAAGACGGTCAAGTTGTGGTGACTTAGGTTCAATGAAGTCCAGCCCATTTTCAAAGCAGTTTCAATAAGATTTTCAACTTGTTTCAAATCACCAGACATCACCAAAACTTGTAAATAACCATAACGGAGCGTTCAAAACGAAACAAAATAAAGTTTAAGTCGAATTTTTAACTGTATTTTCCATATTAATATACTATAGTATATATTGTATACAGCATTATAGTTATCAGCCTGCGATCAGGTGGGGTTGTCCTGGTTATATATTAATTACAATCACTTCAAAAGTCACGACGGTTTCCGAACCTAGATTATAAAGGTAATGTTTTGAAAAATGAACACGATTTAAACATTTTGCTTGCTAATAATTTGAATAATAGTTTGAAATGACTTGTATTTAGTCTATTTCAATACTTCTTTTTCGGGTAGAGTTGAAAATTTGCAAAATGTTGGCGACGTTTTAATATAAATATAATATTATACGGCACTTTCTGAAGTATTGAATTTACTATAGGCGAATTCAAGATGGCGATGAAGTAGTCAACAAGGAGTGAAAAAAATCAATAAAAATGCAAAGAGATGAATGGAAACTTGCAATGATTCAAAATTTCACCTGCACGAAGCTGTAGAACAGTTCAATATTGAAAACGATGGAGATATATTTTTGGTCGCTGCAAAAGAAACTTTAGAACACGGGCAAGCGGAAGTATTGTTCGAGGTGCTAGAAGCCACAGAGAATCGCAAATTATTGAATTTTGTTGGCTGGGATTTGGTTAAAATCGTTTTCCAGTTCTTGCCAGATGATTGTGTGAATTCGTTGCACTTTGAAAGTTATAACAAGTTACTTCATCTTATATGTAATTCATGCAACCCAAGGGAAGTTTGTTTAAGTCTTAGGGAGTTATTGAGTCGTGAATTAACTTGGCAAAAGTTAGTGATATTATTGGGTCTTTTGAGGTTAACAGGTAGCCGACTTGGGGGAAAAATTGGTAAGATTTTAACAAGCATTCTTGTATCACTTCAAAGATGTTTACAAAACAGAAATGACATTGTTGAACAAGTTGAAATTTTGGAAACCACACTTGAATTTGTGGATGAACTTATAGAGAAAACTCAAAACACACTCGCAAATGTATCTGACGATAAAACGGCATTTCAAGAAGGGCTTCTATCGTTCCTTATAGCTCTATTAGAGCAACCTTTCGTCCTGTTAGAGTTCAAAATAAACTCTGAAACGCAAGAACAGGATGACATTATGAAATTTGCAAAAACCATTGTACGGATGCTAGGTGTTTTAGAAAATGGTTGTTTGAAGCGATTGTTTGATTATGGTGTTCATCATAGAAACAGAATTCAGAAACAATTGAAGGTTGATGATGATGATATCGATGATGACATTGATGATGTTAATAATTGTCATTCCTTTGTTGGGCTTGGTTGTCTAGCTTTCTTAACGCACGTGGCAGGATTGGGAAAACAATTTATTCCTGTAATCACAACAGGAAAATACTATTTGGATACAAATATGGTATATATAAACACATTACTTTGTCATCGCGAAACGCAAGTGATTTTGAAAGGTCTTAGCCTATTATTGGCTGTTTTAAATATGGTTGAAGCGAACACGGTGCATCATAGCTACATTGATAATATGGATTTGACGGAATTGCTTACCAATTTGAGACACCTCATGACATATTCCGAGGACAGTATAATCAGACAAGAGTCTGTGAAAGGATTTAGGAAGATTTTGGGTATTTTTACACCCAGAGGCAAGTATAGATTACTACGATCTTTACACGAAGGTGAAATCCAATCTGGTTTTGCGGAACTTCTTTATTTAATCCTTAAAGAAGAAATTGCAAACTCCGTTGAGAACGACAGCGAAGATTCATGGTTTCTTGGCAGTAAATTAGAATCATTCCTTGATGAAATATTCAAGGTCCCACCGAAATCTTTGCAGTCCGAATTTGGAATAATAGAAGAGAGCAACCGAGTTTTGTCTGCTTTAAATCTCCTTCGGTTCTTGCTGCTACGAGACACGAAAAATAAAACTACAATACATAGAATTTTTCCACAATTAGAAAACACATACCTGAAGAAACTCAGAGATGTAGTGACATTTAGTAGATCTAGCATTACAACGTTAGTTCAAGACAAAGAAGATGAAATAAAAGGGATTGTAGTTTCGAAAAAAACATCAGACGAGACGATACTGAACGTGACAACCGTGGATGGGAGTGAACTTGAACAGGGGTCACCCAAGGAACAGATAGAAGTCCTGCAATCTGCCTGTCTTACTTTAGATATGATTGAGTCTATTTTGGCAAGAATTGGGGAAATAGGTAAAGATAGACAATCATCGTGTAATTAGAATGTTCGAATTGCGTTACAGTTAGATTTTGATTAGTTGATAAACAAAGATTTGAATTTGCTGTTTAGTTATGAGATGAAGTCATTTCCTTTGTGTGCAAATATATTATTGATATTGTAATGTATATGTGTAATGAAAAGAGTAAAAAGTACCTTCAGCTTTCTCCGGTTGTTTCTCTATTCTGGACACCCTCGTGTCTTAACTTCAATACCTTCAATTTCACAATATCTCTGCATCTCGTCATCCTGTGTCTCCTAACTGTTCGTTGTCTTTCCATTGAATATCTCCTTGCTAACTCGACCATTCTCTGCATTCTATCCTGGACATTCTCTTGTGTATTAGCTTAACGTCTCCGAAATATATCTGCATCTCATCATTCTGTGTCTCCCAACTGTTCGTTGTCTTTTCATTGAATATCTCCTTGCTAACTTGACTCGACCATTCTCAGCATTCTATCCTGGACATTTTCTTGTGTCTTAGCTTTAGTATCGTCACGTCTCTTTCCAAAATATCTCTCCATCTCATCTTATGTGTCTCGTCGACCTTCTATTGAATATCTCCTTGCTAACTTGACTCGACCTTTCTTCATTCTTCTACCCAACAATTTTTGACACCGTATCCATAAAACTCATAACTTTTTTAACCCCAACATTTTAATGTGGTCATTTGGCATTATCGCGAACACAATCTACATTAATTTATTAAATTAATTCTCTACCTACAAATACTAAAATGGTGAATTTACAATCAGATTTTTAAGGGGAAGCTGTCGCCATTTTAGGGTCCCATCTCCCCCGCAAGAGTACATCTGGCCCCCAGGTTGAAGGCAAACCCGCGGTACTCCCTGAGTGCCCAGCTTTATGAGTTGATAATTGCTCTTGCCGTGTTCACCAGGGTACGAGAGAAGTTCTTTATGTGCCAGAAGATTCCAAACCTAAACGACAGAAAACTACATTTAAACAAAATACTTTATTTATCCTGGGAAGTTCTGTCAGTTCTAAACTGTTCTCCCTAGAGGTCAAGTGTTACTACAGGAGGAAACCTAAACTAAACTAACTTTATTTATACTGGATAGCTCTATCAGTTCTAAACTGTTCTTCCTAGAGGTTCAGTAAGGATCATCTCTTATTGATCCAGTGTTACTACAGGAGGAAACCTAAACTAAACTAACTTTATTTATACTGGGTAGCTCTATCAGTTCTAAACTGTTCTTCCTAGAGGTCCAGTAAGGATCATCTCTTTATGATCCAGTGTTACTACAGGAGGAAACCTAAACTAAACTAACTTTATTTATACTGGATAGCTCTATCAGTTCTAAACTGTTCTTCCTAGAGGTCCAGTAAGGATCATCTCTTATTGATCCAGTGTTACTACAGGAGGAAACCTAAACTAAACTAACTTTATTTATACTGGATAGCTCATCAGCTCCATACATTTCTGTAACTGAGGTTTCATTTCTGCAATATGCAGTTGTCTGATTATAATTTCAACTCAGTCACATGTGAGAAGAGTGCTTCCAGCTTGACTGTAACGAAACACCAAATGTTTTCTCTGGGTTGTAGTGACCAAATGAGGAATGGTACTCACTGGACCTCGGGAGACAGATAAACTTAGTTTAGTTCTGACCCACCTTAATATCGCCATCAACAGATCCTGTCACAAAAAATTCCTCACTCTCATCCACTGCTATGCTCTTGACGTCACTGTCATGCGCAGTAAATGTCTGCATTAACTGTCGTTGTCGCAAGTCGAATATACCTGAGTGATCGTTAAGAAACCTTGGACAGTGACTAGAACCAAGTTCGGAACTATCATGGTAGGTTTAGTAAGTACCATCAACCTGCAGTTTATCAAAATCTTTTACCATCAGAAAATTTCACGAAATGTAGGCATTCCCCCCTGAACGTCCGCCATTTTGAATATTATCAGGGGGGTGAGTGCCTCTCATAAGCGCACTGGCTAATTAGTCGATCTTCTGTATAGTCTCTATTCTGTGATAACATCTTCTAACTCAATATACGAACTGCTGAGACAAGACAACAAAATTCAAGCTGCTATTTCGAGTCTATTTCAAAGTTGACAATGACTTTAAAATAGTCGAACTATCATCACCTTGAATTTTGTTGTCTTGTTCAAGTTTACAAGATGTTACTTTTTCGGAGTGTGTTTTATCTTGTGAGAACCCACGCAGGCTAGAGAAACATATGTAGTATAAGGACCATCATCTGTTGCCCTGCAAGGCAAGCTGTAACCCACCAATAGTGATATATTTTAAGGATACAGACATCGCCTTTGCGACCGCCAGATAACAAGAGTCTTTTGCCAGGAACATAGACAACACAGGGAGAGCCACTTTCATGGCAGTTAAAACCTGAAAGCAAAAAGAGTAGGAATAAATAGGCAGACAGTCGAATGGGCTTCGTGTTACACTTAGCATTACAATCATGTGAAGAGCATGTTCTACTATCTTATTCTTTTCTTTTGAAAATCCCACTCTTCTCCATGCCATCCAGTCACTTATTGTTTTGACTTAGATTGGCATTGGATGCAGTGAGTCTGTTCGTAAAGTTGTCCTGGACAAATAAAATGGGATTTATTCAAGAACGAATCAGTTCAATACCCTGCTAATTTATTAGGGGTCGCCTTCAATCGATCGACAGTACAAAATAACAAACAATTACGAGTAGTTTAGTTTCCGGATTTTTTTAGTTACCGTGTACAAGCGAAGATGAAGGTGGAAGTAGCGTATCCCAGAGACAGACATTGCTAAAATATAAAGAAATATATTAACATTGGATCATATTAAGTTTTGGTATATGTGCAGTGGTGTACTTACTTTCCATCAGTGGAATAGCCAGCAGTTGCGAGGAGACTGGTAGATCCAAGAAAAGCGAAGTCATTTCCTTGTTTATTATGACATTTCAAAGTCTACAAGAAAAACAGAACAGAGCGTTGAAGGTGTTGCTACCACAGTGGTTAGTGCCTCTGTGAGAGTTGATTATATTTCACCGTCAGTCGCATGTGAGGACAGTGCTTCCAGTTTGACTCTACCAAGCATCATTGGTTTTCACCTGGTACTCTTGTTTCCTCCTGTGGTAACACTGGACCAACAAGTTATGGTTCTTACTGGACCTGTTAGTGATGGTTCTTACTGGACCTCTGGGACAGCAAATTTGAAAATAATAGAGCTATCCAGTATAAATAAAACTGATTTGTTTTAGGTGTCCTACTTTAGTAACACTACATCAAATTGTGGATGGTCCTTACTGGATCTCTAGGGAGGACAGTTCAGGAATTATTTCAATCACTTACCGTAAAAGCTGTCGTGTTTGCTGTGTTTAGACATTGATACAATGCAAGTTGCCCACCAAAGTCAATCACACCAAACTACAAAAAATAAATGAAACAAAGCTTAGTAAAAGTGGGTTTTCTAAAGGATGGTGGTCAACTAGCATTTATCACAGTGACAATAAAAGGGGGGCCCCATAAAATGTGAATTCTTTACAACGTTTACTGAAGTTAATGGTAATTTCACTATGTGTGAAACAATAGACCTTACTGATTATTCACCCAATGGCCTCGTTTTCGTGTCAAATACTTACTCATGTTCTGTGCTTAGTAGGGTTGAAAATTACTTTGTTATTGAGCCTAAGAACAGCAAGAAACTAATTCGTCCACGAAAACATGGGAATATAGTCTTTATCTGCCCCTGACATGCTAAAATAAGTTAACATGGAAACGAGGCCATTGGGTAAAAGAGAATAATCGGTAAGGTCTATTTCTCGCGTGTTGTCTTACCTTGCCACCGTGCGGACTAAAATGAACTTTCGTGACACGTTGATATTTCCCGCTTTCGCGATACGTAGCAATTTCATGGTCGTGCCCAAGCTCCCAGATGCGCAGACTTCCATCATGGCCGCCGGCTAAATCTAATACATATAAAATTGAAGTAAAATGAGTAAGAAAGACTTCGTGAAATACTACAGGAGGAAAGTGGAAGTATCTGGAGAAAACTTGCATTGTCTAGTCTGACTGGAAGCATTCTTTTCACATGCGAATTTATCTGAGGCAACTGAATATTGCTGGAATTGAACCCTAGCGAGAGAAATGAACATACAACCCACTGTACTGCCATAATAAGAATACTTACAGTAATGTAAATTAGGATGTTCTTCCAGTCTTTTTATCCCAGAGACATTTCGTTTGAACATCTACATCAAATGATGAGAATATACAATGATTATATATTGTATTGAATGGCGGACACAGTTATTCAAAGGCCTTCAGAAATTGTTCCTTTGGCTTTCTTTTGGCTTTGACCCTAACATTTCCTAAAACTTCACGAATGAACGTACCACAGAGGATCCAACACCAGATTGCGCAGCCATCCCACCAAAGACAGCTTGTTGACTTGGATCACCACTATTATAGATCATTGTAAAATCTTCTTGATCACTATGAGAAAGAAAAGAGAAATACTGGCTGTTAACCTTCGAGAAGGCACTGAAGGTGAAGACCACCAGCAAGTAAAATCGTACTAAATAGTTCTAGATAGCTTTCTAAACTGTTTTCCCTAATGGTCCAGTATAGTCATCTCTTATTGATCCAGTGTTACTACAGGAGGAAACCTAAACTAACATTATTTATACTGATAGCTCTATCAGTTCTAAACTGTTCTTCCTAGAGGTCCTGTAAGGATCATCTCTTATTGATCTAGTGTTACTACAGGAGGAAACCTAAACTAAACTAACTTTATTTATACTGATAGCTCTATCAGTTCTAAACTGTTCTTCCTAGAGGTCCTGTAAGGATCATCTCTTATTGATCCAGTGTTACTAGTGTGTTAAGCTACAGGGGGAAATATAAACTAAACTAACTACATTGAGACTGTTCTCAATGGAAGTCCAGTAAGAAGCATCCCTTATTGTAGAGTCAAACTGGAAGCCCTCCTCTAACATGCGACTAGATGGAAGTATAATCACACAACTGTACGTTGTAGAAAGCAAACCTCAGACGCGAAAGGAACATGCATTAATGCAACACCCAGGGTATTATTATACAGCCGACCAACACACCTCTTTCTATTCTCAGGATCAGAGCTGACATTCTCATCGACATAAAATGTTCGAGAAATTCCCATCATGTTAGAAATATCGATTTCCTGGACATCTCGCATTGTGGCGACCACAACACGCATCATGACTGTCTTGCTGATGCAGAATGAATTGATCGCTTCTGAATCTTTGTAAAGAATTTTGGCTTCTGAATCGTCACCGCTGTCTACCTCATCCACCTGAAAAACATAAAATAGTAGACATCTTCTTAAAATCTCACCAGTGTTAACACAACGCTCTGTGTGTACTTACCACGCCTGTAGATTTGTCAGCTCTGAAAGAATTTTGACCAAACGCAAAATCTAGGAAGATTTTTTGTAGTTGTTCTTTGATTACAAGCGTGTGCCACAATCTCTTTGCAGGGTTTGCTGTTGCACTTATTGACCTGTAGTAAAAAATCAATTTACACGAGTGTATTAGTCTCAGGTACTTATGCTAAGCTGAACTAAACTAACTTCATTTATACTGGATAGCTCTACCAGTTCTAAACTGTTCTCTCTAGAGGTTCAGTGAAGACCATCTCTTATTGATCCAGTGTTACTACAGGAGGAAACCTAAACTAAACTAACTTTATTTATATCGGATAGCTCTATCAGTTCTACACTCACCTGAATGGTGTATTAGTAGGATCAATAAGTGCTTTATATTTCATTAATGTCGGTCCTCCCCTCGAGAACTCGTCCTGTTCAACCGAGTAAAGACTGATATAGTTATCTGGAGCTGGACCGCTTTTCTTCAACTTTGAGAACAATACTTGTTTCCAGTGATCTAGCATTTTAACAGCTGAGTGAAGTAAGGGAGACACTGTAGGCAAATCTAGGAAAAAAATTAAACAAATTTGAAACCAATGAAAATCTGTAGAACTTTTACTTGGCTAAAGCCAAACTAACTTTATTTATATTACATTGCTCTGTCAGCTCTAAACTGTTCTTCCAAGAGGTCTAGTAAGATCATCACTTATTGGTTCAGTGTTGGTACCGGAGAGACTCGCAGTGTTTGGTAGAGTTAAACTAGAAGCACTCTTCTCAGATGTGATTGAGCTGAGATGAGAATGAGACTGCATATTGCAGGAATAAAGTCCCGGAGGTAAAAAGTACAGGAACTGACTACCAATGACCACCCCAATAGCACACCACAAGTACATAAGAACACCCAACTTAAAAGCTTAAATTTCTTACCTGAGATCTCCAAACCAACATTAGCGAGAAATATGTTAACATCATGACAGACCAATGCGCTGATAGCGTAATTCATCAACTTCCAACTGAATGACTTCGGGTCGAGATGATCGAGAGGCTTGACTTTCTTTCGTTTCGGCGTCACAATCACTCTTCCAGCTTCATCTTCAAATGCGTCATCAGACTCCTCCGAGTCAGACGAGAGTGAGGCTTCAGAATCGAAGTGATATGTTTTCCTGGGGTCCTCTTTAGGCTGCAAAACACAATTTCATTCACTTTTTTCTATTTGGTATTTGATACTTTCTGTGTGGTATTTTCTATGTGATATTTTCTATGTGATATTTTCTATTTGGTATTTTCTATTTGGTATTTTCTATTTGGTATTTTCTATTTGATATTTTCTATTTGATATTTTCTATTTGATACTTTCTATTTAATATTTTTTATTTGATATTTTCTATTTGGTATTTTCTATTTGATATTTTCTATTTGGTATTTTCTATTTGATATTTTCTATTTGATATTTTCTATTTGATATTTTCTATTTGATATTTTCTATTTGATATTTTCTATTTGATATTTTCTATTTGGTATTTTCTATTTGGTATTTTCTATTTGATATTTTCTATTTGGTATTTTCTATTTGATATTTTCTATTTGATATTTTCTATTTGATATTTTCTATTTGATATTTTCTATTTGATATTTTCTATTTGATATTTTCTATTTGGTATTTTCTATTTGGTATTTTCTATTTGATATTTTCTATTTGGTATTTTCTATTTGATATTTTCTATTTGGTATTTTCTATTTGGTATTTTCTATTTGATATTTTCTATTTGATATTTTCTATTTGGTATTTTCTATTTGGTATTTTCTATTTGGTATTTTCTATTTGATATTTTCTATTTGGTATTTTCTATTTGATATTTTCTATTTGATATTTTCTATTTGATATTTTCTATTTGATATTTTCTATTTGATATTTTCTATTTGATATTTTCTATTTGGTATTTTCTATTTGGTATTTTCTATTTGATATTTTCTATTTGGTATTTTCTATTTGATATTTTCTATTTGATATTTTCTATTTGATATTTTCTATTTGATATTTTCTATTTGATATTTTCTATTTGATATTTTCTATTTGGTATTTTCTATTTGGTATTTTCTATTTGATATTTTCTGTTTGGTATTTTCTATTTGGTATTTTCTATTTGGTATTTTCTATTTGATATTTTCTATTTGGTATTTTCTATTTGGTATTTTCTATTTGATATTTTCTATTTGATATTTTCTATTTGGTATTTTCTATTTGGTATTTTCTATTTGGTATTTTCTATTTGATATTTTCTATTTGGTATTTTCTATTTGGTATTTTCTATTTGGTATTTTCTATTTGGTATTTTCTATTTGGTATTTTCTATTTGGTATTTTCTATTTGGTATTTTCTATTTGATATTTTCTATTTGATATTTTCTATTTGATATTTTCTATTTGATATTTGGTATTTTCTATTTGATATTTGGTATTTTCTATTTGGTATTTTCTATTTGGTATTTTCTATTTGGTATTTTCTATTTGATATTTTCTATTTGGTATTTTCTGTTTGGTATTTTCTATTATATCCTTTTAACTCTAAGCCCAGTGGACATCGAGCTTCCATGATAGATGGACAGGGGCTTCCATGATAGATGAATAACCTCTATCTAGCTACTACCTATTGCTACTAACCTTTCGTAGAAAATATTCCATCAGGGACACCTGTGGTGGTAGGAACTCTTCATTCTCACTGGCTTTCTTCTCAGATTTATTCACCACCTTGGTGGGAGTTTGCAACAGTTTAAAATTCCACTGTCTTCGCTTGGCCGCCCAGTCGATACCCTGTGCCTGGGGGGAGGGTGATGTTGATTGACGCCTGCTGTCATCTGGACTCAGCGGTCTTTGATCTTTCACCATGCGCCCACCACCAAAAGTAATTCCCCACATGTCAGCGGTGAGGTTGTTACAGATGATGTAGTAAAGTTGGTTAGGGTCATTCTCGCACCATGCTATTGCAAGAAGACTGAGATAGATCGCTACGCATATCTCACATAGGAGAACCTGAAAGAGATTAATTTCCTTCAGTTACATGCGAGAAGAGTTTTTCCGGTTTGGTTCTCTCTTATTAATAGTGCTCCGGATTTCTCCTGCAGTAACAGGCAATGGTTGACTTTCAAGGAGAACAGTTTAGAACTGATAGAGCTATCCAGTATAATTAAGTAAAGTCAAAACACAACGTAAATTTATTACTGCAAAAAAGTAATAAAAGTAATAATTATTTTTATTTAATTTTATTTATTTATTTAATTTATTTATTTAATTTTTTTGCAGTAATAAATTTACGTGGTGTTTCCACAAACAAAAACAATTATATTTTATCGCCATGCAAACATTCAAAGAACTTATAAGTAAAGTCAGTTTAGTTTATGTTTCCTCCTGTAGTAAACAGGATAAATAAGAGATAATTCTTACTGGACCTCTAGGAAGAACAGTTTAGAACTGATAGAGCTATCCAGTATAAATAAAGTTAGTTTAGTTTAGGTTTCCTCCTGAAGTGACACTGGATCAATTAGAGATGACCCTTACTGGACCTCTAGGAAGAACAGTTTAGAACTTATAGGGCTATCCAGTTAAAAACAGAAGTCAAGTTTTACTTACCTTGAGTTTCGATGCGTTGTCTTTCGCCTCAGTAATAAGAAGAGAACGTAAGAGCCGGACACCCGGCCATTTGTTGGGAGATGACGTGGGTCTTCTTTTACTGCTCACGCCGAAAGAGCTTCCCGGACGATCGTGAATTGGGCTGGTCCCTCCTGTAATGATAAAAAACTGTAACCCCTTTGTGTTCAACTGCAACACCTTCGTTTAGGTTTCCTCCTGTAGTAACACTGGATCAATAAGAGATGATTCTTACTGGACCTCTAGTAAAGAGTCCAGAACTGACAGAGCTATCCAGTATAAATAACGTTAGTTTCGTTTAGGTTTCCTCCTGTAGTAACACTGGATCAATAAGATATGATCCTAACTGGATCTCTAGGAAGAACAGTTAAGAACTGGTAGAGCTATCTAGTATAAATAAAGCTAGCTTAGTTTTCCTCCTGTAGTAACACTGAATCAATAAGAAATGATCTTTACTGGACCTCTTAGAGAGGACAGTTTAGAACTGCTAGAGCTATCCAGTATAAATGTTAGTTTATAAAGATTAAGTTTCACTTACTAGATTCATTACTGTCACTCTCGTCTCGTCCACAAACCAGACTTTGAAAAACACAAGCAGACAGAGTTGCACTCATACTTCGTAACACGGACACCATCTCAAGAGGTTGCGCTGGGTTCGGAGGGCCTGGTAACTTGGTAAGGTATTTCAATATATCTTGCGTCATGGACGAGAGATAGGTGAAAGGACTGGCACCCAGTGAGAAAGTAGATACCATAGTCGCTAAGATTAATGGGGGTATTGATGAGCCAGCGGATGTTAGATACAGCGGTGACATGAGGTGACGTTGCTGTTCCAGCTCATGAATTAAAATTAAAAGTTCAACTTTCATTGCTAGAGAGAAATGAATATATCATTAGGATAAGAAATGCATAAAGTCACGTTGGCAAAATACGCGGATTAGACGGATGATCCGTCTCTACTATGAATCAGGTCATTTTACAAAACCAAAATATCAGTTCAACTTACTTGCCACATCGCCGCCACAAGCGCCGTGTAGCGTACAGTAATTCAACAAGATGTTCAATAATGTCTGATTTCCCTTCAACCATTCAATATGCTGTGCAGAAATCTCAACTTTTTTGGCGAAATTATTTTTCTCATTTGGAGAATCTCCGACTAGATCGCTAAAAGATTCATCAGATCCTAAAACAAAAATCATAGCACTGTCAACGCTTTCCGATTCCTGCAATATGCGATTGTCTGATTCAAGTCTGACATTAATTACCAAACAGCTTTCTTCCGCGTACTCTGGTTTTCTCCTGTAGTAACACTGGACCAGTATTGTAGTGATCCTTACTGCACCTCTTGGAAGAACAGTTTAGAACTGATAGAGCTGTAGGTTTCCTCCTGTAGTAACACTGGACCAGTATTGTAGTGATCCTTACTGCACCTCTTGGAAGAACAGTTTAGAACTGATAGAGCTGTAGGTTTCCTCCTGTAGTAACACTGGACCAGTATTGTAGTGATCCTTACTGCACCTCTTGGAAGAACAGTTTAGAACTGATAGGGCTGTAGGTTTTCTCCTGTAGTAACACTGGACCAGTATTGTAGTGATCCTTACTGCACCTCTTGGAAGAACAGTTTAGAACTGATAGGGCTGTAGGTTTACTCCTGTAGTAACACTGGACCAATTTTGGAGTGGCCCTTACATAAATAAAGTTAGTTCAGTTTAAAGACCGTTTTAACATGCTATTTTAAGAGAGACTGTACCTGTTTCGACACCGGTCGGAGTGCTCACTTTCAGTGGAAGCAAGGATTCAGTTTTCGTCCCATCTCGTTCAAAATCACAAATTCGATGTATCAAGTCTAGCTCTTTTTTTAACCAGGCTGTGAACGTGGATCTTAAGTCTTTATTATGGATCTCACAATGGTGGGGAAGCGTACATAGTTCTTCGACCACTAGCTTTAAGCAAGCTCTGAATTTTAATCTCTGTGCTATAGCGTCGTTATTCTGTGATTCACTTGAATTGATGGCATTAAAGTCTTCAATCGGTCTTTCATTCTCGCTTAAGTGAAGTTCCATGGAAGTGTTCTGACTATTTTCAGAATCATTTCTTTCATTGTTCGAATCCACAACACAGTCCTTAGCTGAACTGCGATCATTACACTCAGTTTTATTTGAAGTATCCTGTAGACCACTGCCTCCTAACACTGCAGAGACAGATTGACTCCAATCAAAGCCTGAACTGGTTTGATTGCTAACCAAATTATTTTTAAACCCAGACCGAGGCGAGACTGAGTCAGTACCATTAAGTACGTCGTTTGTGTTTCCAGAACTGCTGAGGGCAGACGAGACAGGCTGCGACCAATCAAAAGTGGAACTGGTTTGATCGTTGCCAGTAAGCTTACTTGAAACAGGTTGGCTCCAATCGAAATCAGAGCTGTTCTGTCCTTTTCCGCTGAGTTTTGTAGAGAGAGGCTGGCTCCAATCGAAATCTGAACTGCTCTGACCATCATTTCGAAGTCTGTTAGAAACAGGTCGACTCCAGTCCATAGCTAGTGTTCCCGTGTTAATCATATTTTCATTTTTGTCTTGTGAATTTTCCTCACTTTCACTTGCAGTGAATGATTCATCATTTTTCTAAACAAAATGAAACGTATTTGAGTATTTCAGAGACAAACAACAGGAGTTTATTGTATAATGCTACCTATAATGGATCACCACGTCCGAAATATCTTTTTCAGGTAGTTCAGACACAAACCACGACAGCTTATTTTAGAAAACTACCTACACTGGACCCGCCACGTTTGAAATATCTTTTTCAGGTAGTTCAGATACAAACCACGACAGTTTATTGTAGAATACTACCTACACTGGACCACCACGTTTGAGAAATCCATAAAAACCAAAGCCCCCCCTGTTACTTACCGAAGTGCTATCATTTTCCGGGGGAGGCAGATCCAACAATACTTGCAATGATAAATCTGGACATCCAGCATTATAATGATTATGCGCCGTCATATAATACAATCTTCGTTCAAACGCTGTCAGCGGTAAAGTCAACATGACTACTTCACTTAAGCTCTGTTGACGTTCGAAAACCTATATAATACAATTATTAAAACTTATATTACACATGTTAGTAGCAGATGCGATTAGCCTGCTCCCCCTACCACTAAGTAGGCTTGCTAATGTAGGTCGAGGATACGGGATTTATTCAGGTTAGGCAACTTTATAAATAAGTGTGAGGTGTGCTATAATAATCCTTACTTACAGCTGAGAGCTAAGCTGAATTACGAAGGACGCAGCTCAACCTGATCGAGTCGAAGGCTTTCTAAGGGCGCCTATTGCAGCCACCTTATGACTCATGTTTCATCACAGAGCACAGCTACAGTGGAAGGGTCAGTTAGGGGGATAATCCCAACCCAGGGTGGGTCGACATTCCCTGTGGCAGGAAACCGGAGCACCCGGAGAAAACCCACGACTTTCGGTAGAGCGTTGAAAGGCGTTTGCTTGGACGATTGTACCATCGAAACCATTTGAAAACTCCTGCATGTTTTACAAGTAAATTTTGCTTGGCTCTCTCTTGTGTTTCGTGGGTATTTCTCTGGGCCTTCCAGTATTCCTCCCTCACCAAAAACTAACACTTAGTTGTCGACCACTTGTATCGTAAGCCTCTAGCTCGGGTAAACTTGGCAACTATACCCAGTGTAGTCGACATTTAGGCCCCAGTTGCACGATACCAGATTCGCATCGGAACGACATCAAATTTTACAGTTTCAAGGGGAGTTTAGCACTCAAAATCATGATAATATAACAGAATTAGTCAAAAACTTCAAATAGGAAAAGTTGTAAGAGGCCGAAAAGCGTGGTTGATGTCGCTTGACTCACTTCGATGCGAATCAGGTATCGTGTAACTGGGGCGTAAATAAATAATAATTACTATTTTCTGACCTTTCGCCGAAGTTTAGGCGTACCAGCCTTCGTGTGTTTCTCGAATTGTGTTCGGCGTAGCACGGGATGAGTTCGTAGATAGACGTAAAAGTTAAAAATATCGGGACTACCAGAGGCCGCAAGTCTGTTGTATTTTATATCGTCCGCGTCGGAGCCTGGTTCAAGTAACAGGGTGCGCAATGCTTTGTGGTATTTCTTTGTTACCCAGTAAGCAATGCTTCGTAAAAATGGATCTAAATGAAAAATTGAAACGAATATATTTGTACATGGCTAAAACCTTGTGAATGTGAGCTACATTAAGTGTTGTACAGAACTCATGTAAGTAAACTTAACCACGGTTAGATCATATAGAGGTATGTTGTACAGAACTCACTGCTGAGTTAAGCGTGGTTAGATCATATAGAGGTTGTGCATGTTCTTGAATGAGAGCTACCTTAAAGTGATTTGATATTGTACAGAACTCACTGCTGAGTTAAGCGTGGTTGGATCATACAGAGGTAGTACATGTTCTTGAATGTGAGCTACCTCAAAGTGATCTGATGTTGTACAGAACTCACTGCTGAGTTAAGCATGGTTAGATCACACGGAGGTGGTACATGTTCTTGAATGTGAGCTACCTTAAAGTGATCTCATGTAGTACAGAACTCACTGATGAGATAAGTATGTTTAGATCATGTAGATGTAATATACATCCTTGGGCTACATCACGTGATCTTTCCACACAGAAGTGTGCAAGCCCTCATGCAAACACGCCTGCTCGCAGGCTAAATCTTACCCTTTTTAGCCTCACAGCTGCGCTCATCATGACCCAAGACATACTCAATGAGAACTTTTTTATAAGTGGAATTCTCAGCATTGAGGTCATACAGCCTTGCAATGACTAAAGCCAGTTGCACGTCTTTCAGACGACTGATACATAGTCGTATTGCATCCCACAATGCATCAGCGAGAAGAAAGAATGCTACAGCATGTTCAAAACGTTGTTTGCTTAACAAGGAGTAAGCGTTCTTTAATGCCGCCTTCCGCCATCTTTCTTCTGCAAAATTGTTCCCGAAAAACGTCGCCATCCGCGTGTCACCTTGGGTCCTGGGGAAGAGAATGCATTTGGTTAAATGGGTAGGTTTTGCCATAAATAAAACCAGTTTTAACTGTGCATGGTTTCACCAAGCACTGTCGTGCAGCAATGGTGCTCAACCTGTGGTTACCAAATTATCTTAATTCTTTTCATTAGATGTACTGTATTTGCCTACCCAACGCTGACTGATTCTGCGCAGTAGTACAAGAGTAAAAACGAAGAAATTTATATCAAACACAAAATTCTTCTAGGTTCTCTTGCGTAGAAAACTGTCAAAGTTTTTTTTTAAATCCGTAAATTTTACCTGAATAAACCTCGGAGGACAGTTTTCTTTCTCATTGCCATGTAGAAGAGAGAACAATCCATTGGATCTTGCTTTGCATTGAACTGCGTCTTAGCCACCTTAAGATAAAGGTTAAGTTTGGTTACCTTTGTTTCATTCTATGCTTACATTATCAGAACAGTGGTAACTAGACATGTGAGTTATCCCACCCAATTCACTCACATATATAATTTCAATGCTTGATTATCTTTGTTTCATTCTATGCTTACATTATCAGAACAGTGGTAACTAGGCATGTGAGTTATCTCACTCACATATATAATTTAAATGGTTGGCTACCCTAATGTTTCATTCTATGCTTATACTATCCGTTTAGGTTGTTTTACAAACCTTCTCAACCAGTCTTCTCAATGTCTCGTTACTTTGAATCCACCAGCCAACGCCATATTGTCTCAACTCCTTCCATGATGGCTCCCCCCAGATCATCCCAGGAAGCATTGCGAGCAGCTCCTCTTGAGTTTCGGAATGAAATGCCCAGACGAATTTCGAGGACGAAAGACCCTAGATAAATTAAACAAGTTTTCCTAAAATAATCACATAAACTAACTTTTACTACATGAGGGAACCTAAACTAAACTAACTTTATTTATACTGGATAGTTCTATCAGTTCTAAACTGTTCTTCCTAGAGGTCCAGTAAGGATCATCTCTTATTGACCCAGTGTTAATACAGAAGGAAACCTGAACTAAACTAACTTTATTTATACTGGATAGCTCTATCAGTTCTAACGCCAGACGGTTTTACTGGCTAACATCGTACAAACCTTGCGCTCCAACTGGCTCCTGGGTACGAGTGGTAGGGATCTCAGCAGACAAGTATGATGTCTCATGGCTAACAGGAATCTTAATCCACATTCATCAACAGCATCACCCCCACTACCCTCTGTTGCTCCTATACTTCCTGTAGTAGCATAACCACCACCACCCCCACTTGGTCCCCCCATGAAGCCTGTCACTCCATCTTTCGCTACAAACACAAAATAAAAATTTTTCATAATCAATGGACCTTTAACCTAATGAACAAAATTTTGATCTAGACAAGTCTAGACAAACATTTCATCACAGCTTGAAAGAGCATCACAAAATTATTAATATTCCGAGGTTTCGTTGCTAAATGTTGTAAAATGCGGATAATATAGCCCTGTAAAGTTTGCCGTTTTTCAGTCATTTTGTATTACGGACGGGAAATTGATACCGCTTTCTGGAAAAAGGTATCAATTTCCGGTGCGTTTCCCAGTTTCCGATGCTTGGAATACTCACTTTGAAGTACTCGTTCGCTGCGCTCACTCTCGAGATATCATGTTCAACACTCGAAATAAATCTGGTATTGCCGCGCACCCATGTATTATTCTCTATATAATTAACATATTCTCCTTGTGTGCCATATATTTCATATTAGACCTACCTAAGTCAGATTTTCTTGCAAACTTTAATCCTCTATCAATCTCCGATGTGCTTTCCTCGAGGTCATTTTTAGTTGTAGCGAGAGTATCAGCCAACGCTTGTAGTTCCAGCTGCTCAGTCCTTGTCAAACCTGGCAACTGTTTCTTACTCAGGTGTTCTGAGAGTAACCCGGCTTGTGCTAGACCAAAATGGACAGGACTCATGGGCGCTCTGGAACTGTGAATTATTGGAAAATGGTCTGAAATCTCAGACTCAAAACTATTCTTCAACGAAGTACTGAACAATTCACTGTAGTCATTTTCCTCTGGTTGTTCCTTGGTAGCATTTGTATCCGTGTTTACACCATCTAAGAAAAAAGTTAAAAAATAATAATTATGACAACCAGCCCCATTATCTTTGACGTTTGAAGTTTTCTTCGCGTATTCCAATTGCCTCCTGTAGTAACATTGGAGCAATAATGAATGATCCTTACTGGACCTCCATAGAGAACAGTTTAAAAGTAATAGAGCTATCCAGTATAAATAAAGTTAGTTTAGGTTACTGTAGGATCAATAATCGATGATCCCTACTGGACATCTAGGAAGAAAAGTTTAGAATTGAAAGAGCTATCTAGTATAAATAAAGTTAGTTTAGTTTAGGTTTCCTCCGGTAGCAACACTGGATCAATAAATGATCGGCCTTACTGGACCTCTAGTAAGAACTGTTTAGAATTGAGCTATCTAGTATAAATAAAGTTAGTTTAGGTCTCCTTCTGCATAATAACACCGGGCTCATAAAGCTACCCAGTATAAAGCTAGTTAGTAAAGTTAGTTAGTTCATACCTCTATGGCTGTTCCCACTATCATCATTATCTGCAGCCAGTAAATCAAAGATTGGTATGGGAGGGATACAATCAACACACGAATGATGACTCGTCTCTCCAGCTCTGGCCGGAGTATCAACTGGAGTGGTGGAAAGAGATGTTGTTCGACTTAATGTACTGATGACACTTCTTGTTCTGTTACGCGAGGTATCGTCGTTATGGTACACCGCAGCTTGTATCGCCTCCTCGCCCGCAACGCAACGAACCTGAAGACAAAATATGGGAAAATATAAAATTTAGAAAAACTAACAACATAGTTGCAGTTACTTCGCGTATTTAAAACTAGACATTGCTACAGTAAAGCGTTGTCAGACTTTTAAGTTCAGTGCTTAAGTTCAGTGCTTAAGTTCAGGCTTTAAATTCATGGTAAAAAGATCAGGATTTCGGGCATATCACTCGATATAAGAGTTTTGCAGAAGGAATCATTCCACTGAGCACTTACCAAATGATTCAAGATCGCGCGAACTCTTCTCAGTTTCCCAAAGTCCAGTAACTCCATCAGATACTTCGGATGGTACTGCGGTAACGTCGGATTGCGTCGGAGAACCTCGTTAAACAGTCCTGGACTTCGGAGAGCATCGGAAGGTACGACATCCTTGTCAGTGGTCTTCTCATCCTTCCACTGAGAGTAAACATGGACCTCGTACCCAATCCCCACAACGAGCAAACCGCGACGGACAAAGGAAATAAAGATCCCTTAACGGAATATACGAGTGGTTAGTGCTGCTTTGACTGTATTAAATATCGCAGATTTTTTCAAGATTCTCGTGTAGTAACACTGGATCAGTAAGAGATGACGCTTACTGGACCTCTACAGGGAACAGTTTAAAACTGATAGAGCTATCCAGTATGAATAACGTTAGTTTAGTTTAGGTTTCCTCCTGTAGTAACACCGGATCAATAATGGAGAACTGATAGAGCTACCCAGTATAACACTTACCTAGCTCACTGGGTGTAGCACAACTTCGAGTCTCAACTGAGGTGATCTTTTTATAGCGATGGCCCATAGACCCTTCTTTAAAACCTTGCTCTCCCATTGGAGTCTCAACCAGACTGTATAGATGTATCAAACTGCCAATGCCGACCACCAATACAAAAAGGCCATTTTCACACGAGAACCATCGAGCGCATGCGTGTTGCGTGGATTCGGAACCCTTGAAGTCTTCTTCGATTCCAAATGAATCTTCCACGACCCATTCCATGTTTCCACTTGACTCGCTTTCCCAAACAACGACGCTGTAGTTGTGCTGTGATTGGTCTTCAGTTTTCTCGAGAACATCTTAAAAAAAGTAAACTATTATTGTTCATACAACTCGTCTATAAGGAGAACAGTTTAGAACTGATAGAGCTATCCAGTATAAATAAAGTCAGTTTAGTTTAGATTTCCTCCTGTAGTAACACTGGATCAATAAGAGATAATCCTTACTGGACCTCTAGGAAGAACAGTTTAGAACTGATAGAGCTATCCAGTATAAATAAAGTTAGTTTAGTTTAGGTTTCCTCCTGTAGTAACACTGGATCAATAAGAGATGATCTTTACTGGACCTCTAAAGAGAACAGTTTAGAACTGATAGAGCTATCCAGTATAAATAAAGTTAGTTTTAGTACGAAGTTTCAATAGCCAGTCACTTGGTTTATTTTGAAAGACAAAACAATTCTATCGCAATGTAGTTACCTTTACGTACAACTACAGCAATTCTGCCAGTATTGGCACAGTCCATGGATATAGGTATCCCATCAATACCCGCGAGCGTGTCAGGATTCTCTATGCTAGTCCCAGGCCTCCTAATGCTACACTCGGTCCAAGAGTAAGTCCACTCTGAACTGCTTTCCGACAAATCTCGAACATCACACGACCAGAATCGTAAAACAGCGTCGGAACAAGTCGTAGATATCAAGAACGGCATTGAGCATACGCGATTTTCAGATACCGCTGATAAAGTGTTTGCAGATGCCGTTGCCATAGTAACATACACGCCATCGGGGAGATCGAGGTATGTCGTCAACACTTTACGTGATCTGATCCCGCATTTAAGGTTCTCTTGGAGGTCTGAAAACGAAGTTGCGGGCGCAGGATCTTGCGGGCTAAAAGGCGACTCACTCGTCGACCCACTATCGTCTTTGTTACTCGTTGTAATCTCAATTCTCCACATATGAATCATTGTCCGTGTCTCACCCCCCTGGGAGGCTGATCTTGTCCTATTATCACCGGGGGGTTGGGTATTCTCTAATGCCAGTAGATAAAAAATATCTTCAAATAGATCATCATGGGGGCACTTTGTCCCACCGGGTGAACAACCCTCAGCAATAGCATGCTCTGAAAATACGTGGAGAAAGAGTGGATTTCTGAGTACATCTCTTGAACTCTTGAGTCGGCATAGTTTCAATACACTTCCAGGCTTCGGTCCTGATTGGTCGCTGACAATACAATGTAACAAATGGTTAACGGTGGATACAGCGGGGTAACTAGTAGTATATCCCTCCCCATCCTCACTATTGAAGCTATTAAATCGCTCAGGTCGTCTTCTGTAGTTTTGTTTTCCAGACAGGAAATCAAGCAAAGCTCGCCCGTCCAAAACTACTTGGTAGAACCGTAGTCCAGTATCGTCCGAGGCGATGAAACATGCACAAGGGGAGACTGACTTGGGGGAAAGAGCAACTGAGCTATCAAACGTAAGAAGAGGGTGAATGAAGAGCTTGGGCAGCCAGGCAATCTTGTCGAAAGCGTCTTGAGTTGTGGATGTTAATTTAGCCAGTTCCATAATTCCTCCCGTTTGAGAAAGTGGAAACACACTATCGCACTGCCAGAGAATTAGTTCACTGAATGTAAATCCATTTGACGTTGAGTTATCAGCGTGTTCATTGGATTCCGGACTGTTTTGAAACTGACAACAATCTCCAAGTTCCTGTGTACCATGTTTCTCATCGTCCTTACCATCTCCAAGTATTTGCTGATCCCTGCATCCCCCAGCATTACCCTCCGAGCCCCCATACTCTGCAATCTTTTCACTTTTAGCTGTAAAAGTTGACACTGACAACAATAATGGCAGCGAAGGATGCGGGAACATGCCTGTTAATGGGAAACGGTGACCAGAGAGCCGGGTTAGATGCGACAAGGAGATGAGTGTCGAGAAAGCGGTATTATCTGCGAAGTCAACTTGCCACTGATTCATAGAGCCATCCTTGTGTGTTGTTATCATTGCAACAGGGGGGTGTGCACCGGTTTCAACTGACACTAGGGACAGACTTGGCGAAGCTTGTCCTAAAATTGAAGTCTTGGTTGAACGGCCATGTGTATATATACCAGAGTGGTCAGTAGGGTTACTCGTTTGCATGTTTAGCTTTCCAGGTAAGCGGTAGAGGACGAGGTTCTGAAGTAATGAATGCGCGTCTGCAGACGGGAACACGTCAGGTATACATGACGAGAAGCTGATTTGACTTTGTTTAAAGTCGGCGCCCAGGGCGGAATCCAATGATTCGACTAGAAACATAAGAAGTGAACCATCCGCAGGGTTGATCGCAAGCAGCGAGTCTGGAGTGCTTTGCCAGTCACGGAGAAGTGAACTGAATTGGGATAATAAGTTGTCATTGTGAAATTCAGGGTCATCTTTTAGATAAACGTCTTCATTTGGAGGAAAAGATGCCATCTGGACGCTTGTAGAATTTCCTAAAACACGAAAATGTGTTAAATTAAGACTCTCTCTAATACTGTTAAATTAATAGGTCGACTCAGCCAAAAAAGCATAACCGCTGCCACGGCATGATTCGTCATCAAAATGCTGACGCCATGGTCCTAGCCAGTGCGCTTATGAGAGGCGTTCACCCCCCTGGACGTCCGCTATTTTGAATATTATTAGGGGTATGAATGCCTCACATAACCATGGCGTCAGCATTTTGATGACGGTTACGCCAAAATCATCTACATAGACCGTCGCTCTACCCATTGAGCTATCGAGTCAACGGGGATTGGTAGCGAGTCTTATCTAATTTAAGTGCACGCAATATTTTCGTGACGACTTAACGCTTGTCGCGTCGTTGACTCGATAGCTCAATGGGTAGAGCGGCGGTCTAGATACCCGAAGATGCGAGTTCAAATCCCGCTCGAGCCAACGGATTTTTCGTTGGTCGATTGCAGTGTCAGAATAGTATGATCTTCTGTTTCTCTCTATTCTGTGCTACCGTGCTATTTCTCGTGTATGATAGATACCTTACATCATATACAATACACATTACCTTCGTTCTTATCAGCCTGGCCAGTCTCCCCGACGTCCTCATCTCCCGTCAGATTAACATACGGACTATCCATCATGTTTCCACTTCCAACAGACAATTCACTCCCAGCACTTTCAACTTCGACAGTCACACTAGGAGATCCTAACAACAAGTTTGCTATAGATGTCATATACATTTCTTTATTGTTCACCCAATGTAGCACAAAGGAACTATGATTTTCCGTAGCGGTGAAATAAGTTACTGTCGACATCACTGGAATATCTTTCGTTGGGTCGATACTGGCAGCTATGTGAAAATGATGGTTGGTTTGGAAGTCGTCAGAATCGTAAGTGGAAACATCGTGCGTGATGTACTTTGATTTCGGGATGAACCGATGTCGTTCGCAGTGAGTTGGACTCAGGTCGTCCGGTGAATCGTGATTTGATTTCTGCTCCAACGTCTCACACCAGATACGGCAAACGTTATCCACGCACGAAGTTAACAGCACGTTTGCAACGCAATTTCTAAACAAATATAACCAACAATTACAATTTCGACGTCAGCCCAACTGAGCAATAGACTCCAGTTGTCTTATATAATACTGTGAGTGACGCTAGTATAAGATATGGTATGTATCTCGCTTGATAGAAATGCCCAAAAATCTCGATATACTGGCATCACTTACTATATACTGTATATATAAATAAGAACTTGTGGTTAGAACTCTTTAACCAAAATCCAAAGCAAACTTCTAGCTTGTATATAAATTTAACAGCTTGTATATAAATTTATTCGGAGATCTTGTCTGAATCAGCAGGAGTTTTCTTCTTCTGACGTTTTGAAATAAACAGACGTGCAGAAATACATAAACTAAGACAGCAGATTAAATTTTAACCCAGGGTTAGCGCTAATCCAGCTTTGAACAACCGGCCCCTTTAGCTCAGTTGGTTAGAGCGCTGCACCGGAATCACAGGCTAGTAGAGTGAAAATCAGGCTAGTAGAGTTAAAAATACACAATTCAAAAGCAAAGTTACCGAGGCATAAAGGGACTTGTCTTTCGCCACGACATTCCAGTGACGGGACGTGGATGCGGGATATACAAGAAATCATAATAAGGCGTCTCCTCCTCGTTATTTGATGCATCACCTGACGTGTAAGAGAGAAAATAAGAATTTGAATCTTAGTTTGGGTTTTGTTGTACATTACACTGAAACTTTACAAACTGAGACACACACCTTTGTCAACTTCAAACCATACTTTCACCAGGCAGTCATTCTAGAAACAAAATCCACATATTAACCCATCAAAGAAGAATACTTTCCCTGATGAGTGATGAGCAAAATCTTCCGCAATGGACAGAGTGAAATACTAGTTAAAAGTAGAATGGTCTGTGTCGGCATAGGTAGCGACAATAACATCACAAAGCTCCACGTAACTTTTTGCTGGTACAACATATGACCTTGCCATATCGTAATTTAGTTGGTATATCATGTGTCTGAGACGTCTTGGCATGAAACATGAATGGACTGATGGCACGAAGAAACGTTGATTGTTTGTATATTGCAATAATATTGTGCTTCTTTTTCTACCTGGTAGTCTGAACATACGTTTCAGAAACTTGCACTTTTATATGACCTTATTTTTAAAGACTAAGTACACATTGAATACTGAATTTGTACTAGCGCAAGTACGCGGCAACAACTATTGGCGTACCAGTCAGATACGACTAAAAATCTTAAATCATCGCACCCAAGTAAACTTAAATCACACAATTTAGACACACAAACCTTGCCAAATGATGCAAAATACGCTCCATCAGATGAGAACTCAATATAATAGACTGGAGTAGGTGTTTCGCATTTCCACACGCTCTTCCAAAAAACTTGTCGAAACGTACTCTGGTCAGATTCTATCCATAATTCAATAAGGTCACCCCCGGTAAGAAGTCGCCTTCCTGAAGAAAACAAAGAGTTATTTATTCAAAGAAATGCTGTTCAGACTTCAGATTAGTCAATTTCACTAAGCACTATCGTACAGCTGATGGTGGTCTACCTGTAGTTATCAGAGTGAGAAAATCATGTTAATTTTTTCATTATACATGTAGTAGTCTTGTATTGTATACTAAGAATTGAGTGATGTAGTTTAATCAGTTTTCTTGCTCGTATAAATGTCAACAGTTTATCATCATATGCCAAACACAAACAATATACAAACCATCTCTATCCCACGACAGACAGTTCAAGGTGTAGCTTGTTGTTATCTCAGACACCAAGGACCATTGAAATGGCAAAGACTAGCAAAACAAATAAATCTCATTATAATCAAGCATTGGATATTCTAGGCATTACTGGTAGATTGGCTGAGATGTTTCAGGAGTGTAAACAACCGTGCCAGTTGCCATGAACATGCCCTGTATCCAACTAGGCAGAATTTATTGAATAATGACATACTATTCAATATATTTTCAACTAATAATTATTGTATTTAATTAATTATAGCTTTGCTTGTCAAGTATTACGTATTTATGTAATAATTTGTCAAGCTTTACTTACTTTGTTTTGAGAACTTGCATCCGTTGTTTTTGGACCAAAAACTCTGATCTTCTTCCCATAAGCAACTGCGATCTAAAATGTATTAAGTCCCATTAAGCCACCCTACTTTTACCGTGTTGCCTATTAACACAACCACTGTACGGATAGTGTAAGCATATATATAAGGTAGCCAAGTATTTATGTAAATTCAGCCTGTATATGTATATGTTACTTAGTGAATTTGGTGGCAATGGGCATATATCATGCATTAGTAATTTTTCCACCTTTTTTGTCGTATCGCCTCAATTCTGAGGGCGTACACCAGGGGGGGATCTGGCCTGATATGTTAGAGGGGGTGGAGGTTTTCCAGAAGGAGTTGCAATACTATGGGGGTCCGGGGGCATTCTCACTCAGAAAATTTTTGAAATTTGAAAACCTGAAATGCCATTTCCTACATTCTGAGCACTAGAATTATTCGTTAAATTTGTCCTCACAGTACTTGTATTGAGGGCAAAAATTAAGAAAAGTGCTATGTAATATGGTGACCCACCGTATTGGTGCCGAATATTTTCTTGTGTATTCAAAAATCAATTGTAAATTGTTTCAATATAATAAGTAGTATTCATAACCGAGAGTTTTCTTCAAGGGGGGTGCTGGACACCACTATGGGGGGCAGGTGGTAGATCCACCCCTGGCATACACATGCCACAAAGTGTGAATTTTTATCACTGTAAGTGTCTGTATAATGGTACAGTTACAACTTTGAAAAGTTACTTTTGACATTGTCTAGATTCTTTGATATGGGCAAGTGAAACTGCTAGCAACATTAACCCATTGAGCCGCAATGTGCACCAGTTTGCCCTACTTATTTTTTACTTGTCTAACGCCAGACAATTTTACTCATCAATGAGAAAGCCCTGTAACTTAATGGGTTAAACCTAAAAGGATGTCTATCCAACAGATCTGGTTATTTCAATCCTCTTACTTTTCCATCAGTTTCTGAGCAAGATATCAGGCCAACATGGTTGCTTGTAGCACATTGTCTAGTGACGATCTGAACCCGTTCAAATTTACTGTCCAAGATGACAACATCACAGCCCGAACTATAGACCTGAATGGATGTACAGGAACATTTAGGGAAATATATTTTTTACGAGTTATCCATCCAGTTACCAAGATCCTAACTAGAACTGGTAGAGATCTGGAAACCAGGATATACAATTGTACACAGATGTACATTACCCAATTGACCTTAGAAAGTCCATATGTCATGGTCAAACAGTGAATATTTTACCCACATGCATCCCACATTGCTTTGCATATACCTAATGTTTAGACGGATTCCACTATGGAAAGTTTGTAATAGGCGGCCGAGATATCAGGCGCGCAATTTTGATGCCTTCTATATATTTATACTATTAAATTTTCGAATTCTCGACCGCACAATTTCCAAACTTTCCAGTCAGGGATGGATTGAAAATTGTGTGATGTAAGCACTTCCGGGGTCAATTAGATTTATAAACTAAATTTAAATACTAGATATAGCTCTATTAGTTCTAAACTGTTCTTCCTAGACATCCAGTAAGAGTTCTTCTGTGTTGGTCTATTTGGAATCTCCACACATGGATTGTGTGAAATTATAATTAGAAAACCAAGATGAATAAACTATTATAGGAATCTAACAACCCCTTTATTATCATGTGATCGGAAAATATTATAATAATATGACGATCATCAAAGGTCATGCTTGGCTACAGACCAAATGTACATTGACTTTATAACAAATTAACTTCAATTACCTAGATTTATGAAAAAATCAGGGCAAATCACTATCTTAACTAGCCATTTAAAACCTCAAATAAATCCCAAAGACAACCGATTGCATGAAAACGGGCAAAGTCTCAAATAAACACGACATTTACTCACAATAAATGGGTGGTCTTCTACACATCCATATGCTACAGACGCGTTATTTTCGCTTGTATTCGCAGCGCCAGTCAGAACCTGATGTAGTCTCATTATCCTAGACGATTAACCATTTGCCTGCAACACTCTGATCGTAAATAAGTCGTTTCGATTTCACCCTATTCATGTTTTTTTTTGCTTTCAATTCTTTGTATATTTTCATTTTTTTCGTGCACATTCTAATACCCCACTTGGGATTGAAGTGGATAACTGAGTACATCTGTGACTAAGTCATTTATCCACATATACCCTGCCACCACATTCAGAATGGCTGATCGCGGAGAAGTTGCGAAAAGCTTGTCCGAAGTAAATAAAAGCAAAGGCAATGAAAATAGCAAGAAAACTCGTGCAAAACGACCCATCTGTGACCGATGCAAGTAGGTCTTCGACACGAATCGCATTTCAAGCTGAATTTATACTATGAGGCCACTATTTGTTGCATATTTTATACAGTTTGATTCTCGTGTCCCGACCCCCGCCCTTCCCTTAGGGCCATTCCATTTAATGTCCCCCCCCCCCCACGGATGAGCTTTCCTGAAGGATGACTCAAAAAGTCGTTTCTGAGGGGTTAAGCCTGTCGGCATCCTTTGATCTCTGCGATTTTTCTGAGGGGTAAGGGGAAAATTTACAAATTTCTGAGGGGTGTTTTGTGTCGGCACTTTGATCTTTTTTTCGTAGGGGTTAAAATTTTACTGACCCATCCGTAGGGGGGGGGGGGATTTTAAATGGAATGGCCCTTATTGAGGCCAATCACATTTTACAATTTTTTCTGCGGAAAATTTTGGCAATGGGCCTTAAATATATCCTATGTGTTAACTTCCAGAAATTGCATCCAAAGGGGTCCAAAATGTTTCTATCCTAAGGGCTATAAAGGGGATTATGAATGGACCCCTCATTCCCTCAACAGGGGAAGGGGGTGGCTATATTAAATGGAATGGCTATATTAAATGGAATGGCCCATTGCTTTACATTTTAATATTGTACCGGATTCTCAGGTAGAAGAGAGATTCTTGCAATTGTCTCAAAATTATTGTTTAAAAACAGTCAAATGCTTAATGGACATAATCGTGATTTATTTTATACATGTATTTTTTTAAGGCGGCCTGCAAAAGTGTGCCTTTGCGAAGCTTTTCCTGACAAGCCATTAGAAATCTCGACAACAGTTTACGTCTTGCAACATCCGGAAGAAGTATGCTAATTACTTAAATTGAATGCTGCAGATCAGTTTGACATTGAGGCTACATTTATACTGGATAGCTTTTCATAGTGGTGCGAAAAAGCACCTATCCGATACGCAATGTACAACTTTCAGAAGCTGAGCAAAACAACATCTCCTTGTTGCAAAATTCTTCTGAAAATAGTGTTCCTGAAAGATACAGATCTAGGTGTTTTTCATGCTATGGAAAGCTATTTGATACAGTGTAAATTTAGTCCTTCATGCATTAGTTGATACGTGAATATTTCATTTAGCGTCGTCGGACCCTAACAACGGTGCCATTATTGGCTGCTTGCCTACCCGAGGACAAATGCATTGTATATAATGATGTTCGATATTCTCAAGAGAAATACCAGGCTCTTCACAAACTTTTGAAAAGTCCACAAACATTGGTACTTTATCCGGATGCAAATGGTTAGTTGTTAATCACTTGACTGGTTTAAAATTAAGGCACTCGCCTAATTGTCTATGCTATCGCTGGGTTCGAATCTGGAAGTGGGATTATTTTCAAGTGTATATGTAGGACTGGTGTTCTTCCTGCAAACATGTGGCCAGAAGGGTTACCATAAGAACTGGTTAGGGTCGGGTGGGGGTAGGGTGTGAGAAAGGGTCAGGATAAACTATGAGAGATCTACGTTATTGCTGTGTATAATTGTACTTTTGTATGGTGTAAGAATATTGTAAACTGCTGTTCTTAATATGAATATATATCATGTTTAATATTGTAGCAACAGATTTGAGAGAAGTAGTGAAAGAATCGAGCTCCTCTCAGAAGTACAACCTTGTGGTACCAGACGGTACATGGCGTCAAGCTAGATTGATATTTAAACGAAATGATGCATTGCAACAAGCGAGAAAGGTAGAAGATTGACAGAGAAAGTTACGGACTGGCTGAAAAACTAACTAACTGACCGACTGACTGACATACTCATAATTGTCGTTGATCTAGGTGCAATTAAATGAAAACATGAGGAGTAATTACGTCATTCGGACACAACCAACCAAAAACAGTTTATCAACATTGGAAGCCATTGCTGTGGCTTTGTCCATCCTTGAGGGGAGAGATGAAATCACTGAGGTATAGTTTCCACCTGTTGTAACACTGGATTGCTAAGAGATGCTTCTTGCTTAACCTTTATATCAGGGGACTGATAGAGCTATCCAGTATAAATAAAGTTAGTTTAGTTTAGGTTTCCTCCTGTAGTAACACTGGATCAATAAGAGATGATCCTTACTGGACCTATAGGCAGAACAGTATTAGAACTGATAGAGTTATCCAGTATAAATAAAGTTAGTTTAGTTTAGGTTTCCTCCTGTAGTAACACTGGATCAATAAGAGATGATCCTTACTGGACCTCTAGGAAGAACAGTTTAGAACTGACAGAGCTATCCAGTATAAATAAAGTTAGTTTAGTTTAGGTTTCCTCCTGTAGTAACACTGGATCAATAAGAGATGATCCTTACTGGACCTCTAGGAAGAACAGTATTAGAACTGATAGAGTTATCCAGTATAAATAAAGTTAGTTTAGTTTAGGTTTCCTCCTGAAGTAACACTGTCTGGATCAATAAGAGATGATCCTTACTGGACCTCTAGGAAGAACAGTTTAGAACTGATAGAGCTATCCAGTATAAATAAAGTTAGTTTAGTTTAGGTTTCCTCCTGTAGTAACACTCAGATCAATAAGAGATGATCCTTACTGGACCTATAGGCAGAACAGTATTAGAACTGATAGAGTTATCCAGTATAAATAAAGTTAGTTTAGTTTAGGTTTCCTCCTGTAGTAACACTGGATCAATAAGAGATGATCCTTACTGGACCTCTAGGGAGAACAGTTTAGAACTGATAGAGCTATCCAGTATAAATTAATAAAGTTAGTTTAGTTTAGGTTTCCTCCTGTAGTAACACTGGATCAATAAGAGATGATCCTTACTGGACCTCTAGGAAGAACAGTTTAGAACTGATAGAGCTATCCAGTATAAATAAAGTTAGTTTAGTTTAGGTTTCCTCCTGTAGTAACACTGGATCAATAAGAGATGATCCTTACTGGACCTCTAGGAAGAACAGTTTAGAACTGATAGAGCTATCCAGTATAAATAAAGTTAGTTTAGTTTAGGTTTCCTCCTGTAGTAACACTGGATCAATAAGAGATGATCCTTACTGGACCTCTAGGAAGAACAGTTTAGAACTGATAGAACTATCCAGTAGAAATAAAGTTAGTTTAGTTTAGATTTCCTCCTGTAGTAACACTGGGTCAATAAGAGATGATCCTTACTGGACCTCTAGGAAGAACAGTTTAGAACTGATAGAGCTATCCAGTATAAATAAAGTTAGTTTAGTTTAGGTTTTCTCCTGTAGTAACATTGGATCAATAAGAGATGATCCTTACTGGATCTCTAGGAAGAACAGTTTAGAACTGATAGAGCTATCCAGTATAAATAAAGTTAGTTTAGTTTAGGTTTTCTCCTGTAGTAACACTGGATCAATAAGAGATGATCCTTACTGGACCTCTAGGAAGAACAGTTTAGAACTGATAGAGCTATCAAGTATAAATAAAGTTAGTTTAGTTTAGGTTTCCTCCTGTAGTAACACTGGATCAATAAGAGATGATCCTTACTGGACCTCTAGGAAGAACAGTTTAGAACTGATAGAGCTATCCAGTATAAATAAAGTTA